AATCAACTTCAACAAAGCAAAGTCAGATTTGGGGATCACCACTTTAAATTTCAGTCTTTTATTTTCCAGTTTATTTTCTGTACCATACAGTGTTTAGAGATTCCTAATCTCAGGCACTAATTAATCAAGTTTAAGGATATTTTCTATATCTTTGAATTTTACTTTATTTTTGTTGAAAAATTACATCAACAATATGCTTTGTGAAGATTTAATTTTCTAATAATTATTGACTAATGTTTTCTAAATTGGGAATATATTAACTTAATTTTATATTGCTTTGGGTAGAAAAAATAATAACTAAACATTTTTAAATAGTTAATGGAGGGATTAATGGGTTAGTTAATATTAGGCATGATTTTACAAAATCTTATCAACCGCGAGTGCCACATGGTGCTCTATGATTGGCTCAAAGTAGGTGATACTAATCAATATTGCTGCCATAATTTTGCCAATTAAACCTAATTTTTTCCGTGTATTTTATATTTATATAAGGTTATTTATCTGTATACACAAATTGATTTAGGTAAAATTGTTTATAACTTCACGTGGTTTCGAAATTCAGCGTAAAATCTCCTTATACTTTAAAAATTGCATTGTATCCCCTTATACTTTAAAAAACGTTGCATGAAACTCCACCACCTTGAAACTTTCCTCGTGTGATAAGAGGATGATTTCCTATCTATATGTTTTGCATGACAGAGGTTTTATGTAATATTTTTTAAAGTATAAGTAAGCGTCATGCAATTTTTTAAAATAAATTTGGGATTTATGCTGAGTTTCGAAACCACAAAGTAGTTTCATGCAACATTTTTTAAAGTATAATGGGACGTCATGCAATTTTTAAAGTAGAAGGGGAATTTACGTTGACTTTCGAAACTACGAGTTATGAGCAATTTTACCATTTAGTTAGTATTTTTTTAGATAATATTGTTATTGAAGAAAATTTAATTATTTAATAGTAAAAAATGATGTTAAATGAATACAAGAAAATAAATCCATACAGTTTCAATATACTCATTTCATCCTAAATATATGTAAACATTTTTTATTTTCGTATGTTCAATTCAAATATATCAAATTTTGTTTTAGTAAAAATATTTTTTTAATAAAATAAAAAGAATATATCTATAAAATATAAAATTACATTGTCAACTATAAATTAAAAAAGTGTTTGTTCACTGTGTGTTTGGCATCATTGTTTTTAACATTAAAAATATTTTTATATTTGTATAATTTTTTTATAAAAATATCGTTACATTAGTATTATAAGACACCAATATAATTATTTTTGTCGTTTTTCATGAATTTGTACTACGTTTTGATATAATAATTAATATTTAAAAATTAATATGCAAAAAGTAAATGAATATATTCGCAGTGGACGAAAGTAATATATTTTTTTAATTTTAATTTAATATTTTATGATAAGAAATAATGTATTTTTATTGAGAATTGTAAACATTATATAAAAAACAAATGAAATTGAGTACAAAGAAAATGAGAATGTGTGTGTGGTATGAATTTTTAAGCCATCACGAAACATTGATTAATTTTTATGTGTGATATGAAAAATTGTGTCAAAAGTATAAAATATATAATTTTAATTTGAATTTTTTGTTTTTTAACTTTTTGCAACGAGTCTTTGAAGTCTTTTTTTTGTTTTTTTAAATTTTTTATAATATATATATGTATAGTTTTTTAGAAAAAAAAATATTTTTTCTTTTAAACGCACAGATCAAATAATAAAAAATTGAAAATTTTGGAGGTAAAAAACGCACCCATAGAGTTTATTTTAACACGTATTTCTATTTATAATTTAGATTATTTATATTTTACCAATTTTTTAAATAATAAACAAACCTCAATAATTTCAAATAATAAATTTTATTTAATAAATACAGCTTTCTTATGAAAGAGCGTAGACTGTTAGTGTAGTCAAAGGTCAAATTGTTTAATTAATTATATTATTATAAATTATTTTTAAAAAGAAACAAAAAAATATAATGAAGCAATAATACAGTTAATTACTACCTGCAATTAATTAGTCATTTAATTTTTTAAATGAAAAAAATAATAATTCAATTTTCTTACTCATAACTAACAAATATGTTTATCTAAACAAATAGTTTAAAAAAAAAATAAAAATCATTAAACATCAATCATGTTTGTTCTTTTTAAAATATTTTTATCAAACACGTATTATTATTAAAAACTATTATATCAAATGGAAATTGGTTTCGACTATTGATTTTTATTTAAATCTTTAAATGGTTATTATATTTAATCAGGTTATTAGATATATTCATAAAATGTAGATGAAGATATAAGAAATAATTTTTTTATAAAAAAAAGATGTTAAAAACTAGTTTTAATTATTTATTAAATTAATCTTTTCAGTTTAATTATAAGAAATTTGTGTTAAAAAATATATATCTCTTTAAATAAACAGTACATAACACACGACAAATATCATTATTTTTTGTTTGTCTTTATAAAATGTTACTTCTAGCAATTTGGGTGTGTTTGGCAATTAGCTGATAGCGGTTAGCTCATTCAATTAGTTGGTTTGACTAGCTGATTCAATTAGTTATTTGTATTTAAATGTTTGGTAAAACAATTATTTGATATTAGTTGTTTATACGTAAAATGATAATTGAGGACATTTCTATTCTATTTTATTTTATTTTATTTTCATGCATTCAATTGTTTTCTTTTGAGTTTAGAATGTTTGAAATTTTTTGTTATTAGTTTTTGAAAATTGTAAAAGTGTTATAAAATACTCACTCTATCCCATAACTATAGTCTGGGTTGTGTTTGACACAAGATTTAAGAAATATTGATATTATATTGGTAGTGAGTAAAAAATATAAGTAAAAAACTTTTATGCCATTGTGAGTGTATTAGCGTAAAAAGTAGTGACAATTGTTTAGTAATAATGAAAAAAGTAATGGTACTTTTATAGTGATATGTTTATTTATGGAAATGAGACTATTGTTTTGGGACAGACAAAAATGGTAAACATGACTATTGTATTAAGACGGACGAAGTAGTATTTATTTTTATTATAGTTATATTTAAAAAATAATATATTTTGGTAAAATTGCTTATAACTCTCATGTGGTTTCGAAAGTCAGCGTATAATCTCTCTATACTTTAAAAATTGCATGGTACCCCTTATACTTTTAAAAACGTTGCATGAAACCCCACCACCATGAAACTTTCCTCGTGTGATAAGAAGATGATTTCCTATCTATATGGTTTGCATGGCAGGGGGTTTTATGCAATATTTTTGAAAGTACAAGTGAGCGTGATGAAATTTTTTAAAGTAAAATGGAGATTTAAGCTTTTCAGAAATTAATTTGTTGGGTCCAAAAAGCTATTACAAAAAACTAATTTACCAAACACCTAAATTAGTTGTTTGACTAGCCTTCAATAAACTAAAAGCTAAGCTCTTTGTCAAACACTCTCATTATCTCTTTTTACAACAAATATCATTATCTTTTGTTTGTCTTTAGAAACTGTTACTTCTAGTAATTTTTATAAGTGATGAATAGTGTATAAGAATATACTCCCTCTGTATATAATTACTTTTGACGCGGTGTTTAAGAAATAATAATATTTTTATTATAGTGGATAGTTAAAATTAGTGTAATGATATTTTTGCCCTTACTTTTTGGTGTAAAAGTAATTATGTAATATAAACTAAGGGTATTTTTGGAAAAAATGAAGTATTTAATGAAATGTTTACTTTGTAATTGGACGTCATTTTGGATTTTACCACGGATTTTTACAATTGATATATTTTTTTCTCTCCACAAATATCACTTCAAACAATTACTTTTCTTTTTTTATATTATATTATAAATTTATTTTATATTCAAAATATCACATCAATATATATTTATATCACATTAAATAACTATTCAAATTTAAATTTTCACTGTTTAAAGTCCAAACCAAAAATCCCCAATCCACAAACAAATACACCCTTGATTATTGATTGGGAAGAAATTTACTATTACTAAACAAGTATGCTAAGCTCTAAAGTACGCCCTCTGCACAGTCACAGTCCGCTAAAGTGCGCCGTACCAATAATCAGCTAATTCACACGCATATGACTAAATTGACCATTTACTTTGAATTTAGATATATATATATATACATATACATATATACATATACTTCTTGAAATTGTGTATTTGTCACATTTCAAAATAAAAATAAATTAAATTTTCTTAGTTAGTGATGCGAATTTCTTATTCAAGACCATTAAATAGGAAGACATTATAAATAAGCATATTTAATTGTGGCAGAAATATGTTCCCTCCACATTAATGGATCAATTCCTATCACCCCAATAAAGTAAAGATTAAATAAATAGAGTTTAAATTATCTGTCTATTAAAAATATATGTTTATTTTGATTGAATACCAATTTAAATAAATAAAATATTATATTAAATAATTTGCGAATATAAATTTAAAATATTTTATAAAGTATATAAATAGTAGAATGTTGAGTTTTGGGTTTGAATTTATAAATAGTAGAAATAGTAGTAAAATTAATTACATTACAGTAGAAATAATTATAGACTGATATTAAAATAAATAATTAATTTGATTTAAATTAAAAAATTATAAAACATTTAAAATATGATTAGAATATTTAATTTTTTACCGAAAAAATTTAACTATTCGATGTATGAAACACTAACGTGAGGGTAATTATTTTTCTTTATATAAAAAAAAAATTGGAATATAAAATTAAATAGCAGTATCAAAATATCCAATGCAAGTCACCCACGTGGACATGAGAAAGAATTCTCATTCTTTTACGGGAATGTGCCCCAGAAAATGGAATTTACTATAATACCCTAAGAATATTTTTATTTGACATAAATGCCCTGGCCTCCAAAGGCCCGACCCGAAGTCTCGCCTTCTCTTCAGTTTCTCAGAGTATAAATACGAGAGGGAACCACTGTTGTTCGGTTTTCCGAGGAACGCCTCCGTGATTCGGTGGAGGTGATTGGAAGTGGTTTGGTGATTTCAGTTCATTCGAATCACTGCAGCAGGAGAATCTGACAGCGAGCAGGCTGGGGAAGAGAGACGTCGTCTCGTTTTCGTCAATCGGTTGTCTATTTCATTCATTCATGTATGTAAGTGTGCGTATTGGCTTGTTGTACTTTTTTTTTGGTTTTGTGATTTGGAAAAGATGTGTGGCAATGCGGATTTTGGTATGTTTTTGCCTTGATTTCATGTATCGTTTGAAATTGCGTTGACTGTATACCTGAAATGCATCATCCTTCTCGTTTTGGCGGTCATCCTGTTTGCTTGCTATTCTGTGGTCTGATTCCTTTTTAGCATTTGTATGATTCGTCACTGTTGTTTAACTTATCTGCATCGTTTTCTGTTTCCTGGAGTTACTTTGGGAAAAATCTAGACGTGAATGTTTTTGCAGATCACGATCCGTATATTGTTGTTTTTGGATCCGAATTGAGTTTCGACTGGCTTTAATCAAACGCCTTGTTCATCGGTTTTATCTTCTCTTATTAAAGTTTTGGTATGAAGGATTGCCGTTACATTCCTTAACTCTGTTTTTTTATAGCCTTTTAGATAGCTGTGTTGGAGTTAGTTAAACTCCGGAAAGGAATTTTTAGTTTTTTATTTTTTGCTGCTATGATGAAGATCTGCTGTCCATTTTAGAAAGCTCGAAAGGCACGAATCCTTTACCTTTATCCTTTATTAGTTCATCTTCCCCACTCTGTATTCTTCTCTGTAAAGTCTGGAAATGAAAACTATATCGATTTTCTTCAGGAAAAAGAAATGCTTCCCTCTCCCTGTCACTTTGTACATATTTTAAATTTCACATCTGCCGTTTAATTTTTTTATTGAGCAATTTGTTATATATTTAGAATGCAACTTATATATGTGGAGACAAGTTCTCTCTTTCTTCTGTTTTTTGTTGTCTGCGATTCTTCTCGACGCTGTCTCCATTTCTCCTGCAAATTGAGTCTTTTTTATTCACCGTTGAATTTTGCATATACTGTTTGTCTTTCGCTTAAACTTAAACTATTCAGTAGTTGACATATTTCAGCTCTAATTCTACACTATCCTTTGTCATATTTCCTGTAATTTATTATATTCTAAAATACGAAAGCCCACTTGGGTTTTCTTAAGTGGTATTAACTCTCAGCCATTGGTTTGAGGAAAAACATTAAAGAAATCGAAGATCTTTTAATGTTCTTATAATTTTATATGAATCTTTCCAACAGGAAATGACCATTGGTCTTCAGAATCATTTGAAGCGCAAGCTAATGAGAGAAGAAAAGAAATGTCATAGGGTAAAGATTGGTTTGATTCTTTTAGCACTTAACTGCTTGGGATCAGATTTTGTAGATTCGAGAATATAGTATACTTTGCGAATCAAAATACTTTTGATATGGAAAAGTATATATATACTAATATACATATACTTTTGGTTGCAGTCGTCCTGGCCAAAAGTGGTGGTCAGAAAATGGCTGAATATACGGAAGGGGGGTGATGAATTTTTCTCAGATCAGACGGAGAATGGTAAACCATACGTTTACTTGATTTTTTAGGCTGCGATTTGAATTGTTTCTTGGTTAATATTATATTGAACGATAATATTGATTCTTGAAATTAGCTGCAATTGAAAGAAGAAGGAAGAGCTCCGACGACGGCACCTACGCCGTTGTACCGGAAGAACTCTCCGGTAATCTTCCTTGCTGCCCTGTGTGTAAAGAGTATGATTTTCATATGAAAAACTTGTTTTGAAATATTATTAGCAGGACGTGATGAAAGTTAAGTTACTCTGTTTTATAAGTTATCTAGGGAAGTTTTCGCTGTAGCTAATTTCTCGGATCATTTCAGAGCTGCTATTAGCTGTTGATATTTGATTGGAAACAAGACTACTGTTTTCAGAGTTTGTGGTTTGTTTTGTGTATGGGACATGGAAATAAAATGAAATTTTTTATGTGAATCTATCTGGGTCCCGTTTACTTGAGCTGGCTATTGTTTGCCACGTAGACCAGTAAATTTTTGTTTCAAGATTTTATGTTAATCCTATAAACGTGGTCCTGCATCAGAGCAATGGTTGGTGGAGTCGGGCGATGCTTTCCAACGGCTAGGATTTGGTCAACTATCCTCACCTACCACTGGCAGCCCCAGCCTCAGGTAAACTTTAATAAATTCCATTGTTTTTTGTATGGTAGGTTGACCGACTATATGAGATTTAGACTGACGAGAACTTGGGTCATTTATTTTTCTCCTCCATCTGATTTTTAACTCAAATAATTGTTTAATGAATTCTGGGGTCTGTTGTATTGTTCTATGTAATCTCGATATCATGATCTGAAGCTGCATTAGCTGCTTCAATCATTTGCCCAACCTTTTCCTATGCATAATTAAAAGCCGACTTCATGTGCGGCTGGTTTCTTCTTTTAATTTAATTTACTATGAAATCACTTTTTAGGATTGTTAAATTAATTGATTCACAATGGCTGCAAAATTGAGTTCACTTTTTTCTCCTCACATAACAAGATCAATAATAAGTTTACCTTCTTGGACTGTTTCTTTTTTTCTCTTCTTTTTTATTTTTATTTTTTAAATTTTTTTATCTGCAATCTTGGACTGTTTCTTGTGCATGTAGATTGATGGTGGGGACATGGAATGTAGGAGGCAAATCACCCCACAATGGACTTAACCTAACAGACTGGTTAAGGACTAAAGCACCTGCTGACATTTATGTACTTGGGTAAGCAATATAATCCACATCACAAATATATGAAATGAAAATGGCTGCAACTTTATATACATATAATTTCAGGTTCCAGGAGATTGTTCCTCTAAATGCAGGCAACGTGATTGGGCCTGAGGACTGTGGTCCTGCTGACAAATGGATTTCCTTAATCCGTGAAGCTCTAAACGGCAATACGATTAACCACCATGCCTCCAAGAAATCTCATACACCAAGCAATCGAAGTCCACCTGCAAAGCCGAGAACCAGTTTCGCGGATTTGCTTTCATCTGATCTAGATGAACACGATCAAGGCTCCCCCAATTCTCCATTTCCTTGGAACAATGAGAATCATTCACCTAGTCCACCTCACCGGTCGGGACATCATTCTAACACACCACAGCAGAGGTATTTGCTGGCTGCCAGCAAGCAGATGGTCGGCATCTTTCTGTGCGTGTGGATTCGCGACGACTTGTATCGCCATATCACCAGTTTGAAGGTCTCATGTGTTGGAAGAGGCCTAATGGGACGCCTCGGAAATAAGGTATATTTTTTTAGTTTGTTTTGAATTCTAAATCATCAAAAGCTCATCATGCCTCCTTGTGTTTTTTTTTTTTTTTTTTTTTCATATTAGGGATCCATATCAATCAGCATGACACTACAGGGGACGACGTTTTGCTTCGTGTGCACTCACCTAGCCTCCGGGGAGAAAGGGGGCTATGCCACCAGAAGGAATCTGGATGTAATGGAAATCTTGAAACGTACGCGATTCTCTAACTCCCACAGAACTCCAAGAACACATTTTTCGCAGCGAGCCAATACCATACTCGACCACGAGTAAGTTGTTCATGTCATAAACTAAAATCTTTATGTCGATTAACTCATCAGTAGCATCATACAAAACATGTGCTTGTTATTAATGCAGCAAGATCATTTGGCTCGGGGACTTAAACTATCGACTTGCATCCAGTTACGGCTCCACGCACGAGCTCTTGGAGAGGAATGATTGGCAAGCCCTGCTAGAGAAAGACGAAGTAAGAATGATTTCTGTTAAAATATATATTATATTTATGGTATTTATCTTAAATTACTAGTATTCTTGTCTTACGTCATTATAAATATGAACGAATTTTAGTTTCTTATTCTAACAATTTCTGAAATTCAAGAAACTAGATAGACTTTTTTACAGTACAATAACATGTCCGAACTCAATTAATCAAGAAGTGTTTTGTTTTTTGCAGTTGAGGATAGAACAAAGAGCTGGGCGAGTATTCGAAGGATGGCGAGAAGGGGAGATATATTTTGCTCCGACCTATAAATACCACACCAATTCGGACCGCTATGTTCTCCAAAGCTGCACCTCCAAAGAGAAACCACGTACTCCCGCCTGGTAACCCATAGACCTCATCACTCTTTATCATCATCATCATTAATATATATTACAAAGATGCTTTTATTGATTGTAGCTAGAGCTATCGTTGAACGAGTCGAGCGAGTTCGAGTATATTTTGTTTGAGTTTGACTCAAACATGGTATCGGTACTACCTCGACTCGGGTCACTTAGGATTAGAACTAAAATAGTTGTTCGAGCTGAAGTCGGAAGGCTGGAATTTTATACATATTCTTTCTTATTTTATTTAAAGATTATTATAATGAAATATTTAAAGTTTATTAATAAATATAAATTTTGATATAAAAATTATATATATCATTACTAACGAATGTGGGTGGATTAACAAATAGCATGTTTTCACATGTTTTTGATAGTCAACTTGAATCTGCAGTGGTCGGTTCCTGCCATTATTTTATTTATATCGATCTATCTATCTATCTATCTGATTCGATAAAAACATGCGAGACAGTGATGACATTAATGTATGCAACTGCATGCGATTAGTGTTGGTAATTGGTATGCGTGAAATATTTAAATAATATGTATTGATGTTTTGATAGTATAATACTTGAAAGTAATTGATACACCGACTTGGAACGTGGCAGACATAAGAGATTGTTTGTCTCTCTGATTAAATATTATAGAAATTTGTGTGTATTTTGTTGAACTGCAAATATAGTGCAGTAGTGAAATTGTTTAATTACATTATTATTATTATTATTATTATTATTATTATAATGTTGGAATCCGCAAGTTTGTTTATTGTTTATTGTGACAGTGACATAATTATACTCTATATATATATATATATTTACACATGACAGGTGTGATAGAATTCTGTGGAGAGGAGAAGGGATGAAACAAATGTGCTACGTGCGAGGAGAATCAAGATTTTCAGACCACAGGCCAGTCTACTCAATTTTCTCAGTCGAATTAAACCTACCCAGCATGCCTTCTTCTACTTCGACTTCTTCTACATACAATAAAACTATCAATAATAATAACAATAATAGTAATAGTAATAGAAGAGGAGCAGCAGTAGAGTCAAAATCAGAGGTTACATCACCCTCCCATTTCCACAGAGAGTTTTTGGCAGGGGATAAGACTCATAGCTGCATAGAGTCAGCCCCAAGATTCCTAATGATCAATACTACTACTACTACTACTACTACTAATACTACCCCCACTTACTTCCCTGTTCTGTAAACAATGACACCCACACCCTCAAACTCAATATAATAGCCTTTTCCCATTTAACCCAAACCATCTTAACCACCCCCCACCCCCACCCCCACCCCCACGTGGGAATGATGGGCGTTGGACACGTGTACAGTTGGAGATGGCTATTGTGTATGGATTTTGGCGTTGTGGGTGGGGTGGTGCTGGTGATGGCCACTGGGCCATGTATGTAGTGTTTTGTTTTTTTTAACTAAGCTGGGTATTGGATAGGTAAAAAGCTGTGGACCAAAGTGTTGAATGCTATCTGCTGCTGCTGCTGCTGCTGCTCGTTTGTGGGAATAGTGGAAAAACTGACATGATAAGAAATTCTTTACAGATTTTTTTTTTTTGGTTGGTTTTTTTGATGTGGTCTGTTAGTTTGGTAAAGATGTAAAAAAGCGGATCTTGCATGAATACCAATGAAATTTGTAAATGGACATCTGTTTGTGATTATACTTTTAGTTTTAGTAGCAGTGGGAAAGCTTCCTCTAAATGCTGTTTCTGGTGTCTTGAATTGAATGATATGATGTGACGGTGGCGGTGAAAGCTTATTTGGGATGCCTGAAATTTAGAAACCCAAATTGGCTTAAATATTGTATAATAAAAGCCAGAAATAGGTAAAAATGGATCCAATATATAGATCTAATTAATATGTATACTTTATGTGTTATTATTATTATTAGATTTTTCCCATGCTAAGATGTCCAATGAGAATTGAACTACAATGCTTTTATTTTGTGTTGTATGATTACAATAAAAAAGACAAGAGTATTAGTTAAAAATACCCTAAAATATATATATATTTAAAAAAAAAAAAAAAAAAGATGAGAAGTTAATACATCAAATTGCCATTATCATAAACAAAAACAATTTCAGATCACAAATGTTAATTGAATAAAGAAAATAATCGATGCAAAATTTGCAAAAGCTCACCAAATTCCCAACTTCGATTTTTCTTACACAACTAAAGAAACAAATAAAAGCAGCAGTTGGAGACGCAAGTCCTACACTTCACACATATATATTAATATTTATAAAATTAATTCCTTGCCCATAAAAATACGACTTCTTAAGTTCTTCTAATAATAATAATAATAATAATAATAATAATATACTAATTGGAATGATTGAAATACAAATTGTCACAGCAAAGACTCATCATCCCCTATCAAAATGATCAATTTAAGGGATGAGATTTTGCACCTTGCCATCCTATCTCGTTGTTTAACCACAGCATGCCGATTTTTGAGCAGCTTGTGCAGCGCCGCCTGCCTGATCTGCCTGGTTAATTCTTATGGCCTGGGGCTGTGTACATGCATCCAAATATTGGTCAGTTTTCATACCAAGCAAAATACTTGTCTTGTCTCCGGAATACATATTGTGAAAAAGGAATAAATGTATTTTGAGTTTCATATGTGACATTCATATCATTTTGGTCATTTAAATAGAACTTGTATAGAAATAGTCCTATATCCAATAAAATATCCTTATTGACACATGTGTCGACATGGTACATCTAGAACCGACATGAACTAGCGATGTAATAGCTTATAACACCAAATATTGATATGATTTCATTTTTAGATATTATATAAAATATATATGTTTCAAAAAATATACAAAATTAAATTTAAGTCAATATTAAGTGACTAGTCTATGTTCGTTCCTGAAGTGCCATGTCAACCGCATATGACAATATTCCCATACCATAAAACCTTTTCAGCAGACTACAGACTAAAAATATAAGACTATTTCTACATAAACTTTACTTAAATGACCAAAATAATAATAAAGCCACACACAAAGACTAAAAATACATTTACTCCAATAAAAAAAAATTAAATACAAAACACACCCTAACATTTACCTCAGTCTTGGAGTCACTTTCAGCAAGTCTCTGTTTGATGTCGCGCGCAATGGAGAAGAAAACTTCCTCCACATTCATGTTCGTTTTGGCACTCTGTTAGGCATAACAATGTTTAGACTGAATCATATAAGATATATATATATATACACACTACACAACCAGCTAGTGTTGTACTCACTGTCTCAAAAAATTTGATTCCATATTCATCGGCGAGCGCCTGACCTTTGGAGGTAGGGACAGCCTGTCGAGGCCATTAATTTCTTTCATTTCAGATGAAGACAAAATTAAGAAAGCGAAAATCACAATTCCTAGAAAACCGTTAGTTACGCATTATCCATACGTTAAGGAGGGGGGCAGCATACCCGTTTGCTTTCGTCCATGTCAGCTTTGTTACCCACCAATATCTTGTTTACGTTGTCTGAGGCATGCTGTTCGATGTTTCTGATCCAGTTCCTAATGTCTGATGAGAATAATTACATATTTTACAATAAAATTGCTGCAGGAATAATAAATTGTAGTAATTGAAACATAACATTTCTGCAAAAGTTTAACTTATTGATGTAAAAGACAAGATGGATCTTCTACTTGTGATGGTAATAATGATTGAAAGGTCGAAGGGAAAGGCGATTACTGTTGAAAGACGACTCGTCAGTGACATCATACACCAGCAATATACCCATCGCTCCACGGTAGTAAGCTGAAAAATAAGACTTACTCGGAAAGATAATACATCGAATACAGCAAAACGAAATCTTGCAATACTTAATTACAACTAACAAACAAGTAAAGAAAATCATAACATTGAGAGGTAAACACATGTTCACTTAGTGTTTTAAAAATACACCACTTCAAAAATATCACCCAAAAATACAATATATACACATAACAATAAAAATCAGCAAAAATACACAACACACCATTCACTATAATACTTTTACGATTCCTCCACACTCTTAATAATGAGTCGGATCAAAACAACACATGCTCTAGAAAAATTAACATCGAAAGGAAAAGGAAACAGGAATATTGGATGCGAAGGTAACACCATATCGCATTTCACAATACCTTTGTCACATCCTGAGAGGGAATCCGGCTAAGGTCATAAGGTTTTACATTGAAATGCGTTCCCATAACCAACAAAAGTTTGAACAACAGATCTACAATCACCCCAAAAACATATCAAACTCGCATCCATCTTTATTTTTCGTCTCTAATTATGACTTTTGACTAATCCTATGTTCATGCCGTAACAATAACTAACCCAATCCAACCCCACATTTTTAGGTCATTCCTCACATTCTCCTACCCCCCATAAATCACCGACAGCATTTACTATGTTTACCAGTAGAAAATCAGGTAAAAAATAAGTATGTTGCAAGTTATGGGTAACCCAAAAGGTAAATAATAAAAAGTAAAAAATATAATAAAGGGAGATACAAATCATGTTTGCAAGTGCTATTTTCATAATCTAATTTACAAAGAAGAACATTAATTTGATTTTCACAGAGCAGATAGTATCATAGTGCAACTAAGTTTTGATGGAAATACGAAAAAATGAGAAGCAATAGTGTGCCAAAAGCCTATTTGACGGTGCCATGAACTCATCAATAGCTCTCGCTTTCCGGATTACTGCTTCAGCCTAGATGTATGATATTTATACAAAATTACAAATGTTGACTATGTTCCAATAACGTCTACATATCATTCATCGAATGCAATAAATACCTTCCTAAGTCACATTTCATAAGAAACAAGTTGATGAAATGTGGGTCTAGTTTAACTTATCTTGAAATAAAAGAGAAACAGGAGTAGATTCTTGCATTGCTTAAAGCATACCAGTTGTAATTGTTCTAAATCTCTCTTGCCCAGCAGTATCCCATATCTGCAGTTTGATTCTTTTCCCATCAAGCTCGATAGTTCTTATCTTGAAATCAATCCTGTATGAAGTATAAATAAATAAATGATGAAAATACAGCACATGGGAGGACATTAATGATTAAAGAGCTAAAATGAAACAAGACATGTATGTTTAAAGGACACTAACCCAATGGTAGTAATGAAACTGGTGGTGAACGAACCATCAGAGAAACGTAAAAGAAGGCAACTCTTACCCACACCTAGATCAAACAATGACGATTTGAAATATAGAATATCATCTCAAGTGACAATTTTGAACAACATATCCATACAAATAGTCAGGGAGACAGTATTTCATATTTGCTATACATACCCACAACAGATTGTTCATTTAAACATAGACACACGTTCGTCACATTGATACAACCTCTCTTTAAAACTATCACACCACGCGTGTTTATTAGGGTTATCTTGCAGTAATCAAGGTATGTTTAAGAGATCAATTAGCCTAAAATTGGGATTCGTTTCTTGTCATAATCAAGAATGGATCATAGAAATATGCAATTCTTTGCTAAAAAATAATCTGTTTGAGTTAGCAACAGAAATCTTTGTTGCTTTGAACCTTATAATTTACGTCACCATTATTATTTATTAGCTTCTGAAATCACCAACAACCTATACCTCAGTTAGTAGAACCGACCTACACTTGCAGAAATAGTATTGATTCTGCATGAATGTTGAATAACCTCTTCCAAAAATATACATTCCTAAACCAAAAAATTACTCAACCTCTAATTCAATTAAAGCCACCATTCTTATGAGTTGTCCATGAGCATTTCATCATATTACATATACACACCTTTAAACAAATTCAACATATAATTACAAGATATAATTAAGCATCCACTGCAAAACTAGTAAACAACTTAAAAACATCGCATCCTAACCCATGCAAAGGCCACATCACATAAATCCGAACGATCGTAAAATCAGTCGTTCGACTGAGACAATCACAGGAGCGATTAAACGCCGAAAACATTGGCATCAAATGCAGCAGAAGCGAAACAAATCTAGAAACTAATTCAAAAATCTCCAAACAGATGCAAAAACAAAACACACAAAATGCCTAAACTGATCGCCTCTATATTCAAATCAATTCGAAGACTCACCGCTGTCGCCAATCAAAAGCAGCTTAATGAGATAATCATAATCGGCTCGAGCTCTGGCGGGTGGAGCGGCCATCAGATTTGCTCTCGGTTCACAATTTTCCTCAAAACAAGCCCTAGCACCACAATTAACCCTTATTTATCCCAAATGTGCGCCGCGATTGGGGAAAAACAAAGCCGTGAAATTCGATCCAGATTCAAATACGCGAAATTGAGAACAATTACCAGATCGAAGGCAGGAAGCACGATCAAATGGATCCAACAAATGAACCGACGGGACGGCGGAGAGAAGCAGCAGCTGCAGCAGCAGTGGTCTGGCGTCGGGCCCGATCGTTGAATCCTGTAATTGAATTTATTTTTTATTCTTTTCCTGCGAAAGAAATGAATAAATAATTCATAGCTGATGATGAAATAAATAATCATTATAAATAATTAATTCGTTATTAAAACGTGTGCGGAAGATTGGAAAGAGTCAGATGAGGTTATTTTCGTCATTTTAGGCTCGGCCCATTATTTAAGCCCAATGTCTAAAATTAGAATCGATTTCAGTCTATGCCTATTTGCTGTTAAATTTGAACTTCCTCTTTTGGTAAGGGTGAGTGTGTGTGTTTTTAGTGAAAAAAAGAATACATATATATATTACAGACATTAGTAATTTTTATTTTGTATACATAATATTTTCTATTTTAAAAATATTATATTATATGTAAAATAGACCAAAATAAAAAATATTTCATGTAAGGCGGAATGAGTACTTACTGTTACAATAGTATAACAATCTATGTATAATATACTACTAAAACTTTATGGATACAATTATTTATATTCACTCATTTATTACACTACATATATATATATATATAATACTCATTCCCTAAAGAGTAAACTTTTTGTTTTATACTCTACTTTTTATTTTTTACATTATTTTTATTTTAATATTAATAACAAAATAAAAATTATATTACTTTATTACACTAAAAATTGCATTACAACTATAACTTAAATATCAAAATACTCAGTACTTTTTATTTTTTATATTATTTTTAATTTAATATTAATAAAAAATAAACATTACATTACTTTATTACATTATATATTTATAAAATATTAAATTTTTTTTAATTAACGGAAAGAGTATTAATATTATAAGATTTTATGTACAAAAATGAATATATAGATACATACAGGAGAGTAATAGATTGGATGTGTTTGTTTTTTCACCAAACTTTCAGATTTTACTGTATTAATTATATGTTTCTAGAAAATATATACATATATTTTTTCACAAAATATCCCGTCAGATATTTTTTTAAATCAGAATTTTCAAATAAAAAAAATAAAAACACAACCAATTTGTTATTAGCACTAGTAATATATGTTAAAAATATTTTTATTGAATAGATTTAGAGTATATAGAGAGTATGGGCTTAAGTTATAGGGCTATTAAAATGGCAATAGGTCTTTTGGGCCAAGAGCCAGATTAAGCCCATTTAAAATTGGGCTTCCTCCATTATTGGCCGTTGGATAAGGAAGTGAATCTGACGGTCATTATTTCGTTCCTTTTCTTCGCAGTCATCTTCCCGACTGCGACTAAACCCTCAAAACCCCACAAAACCTCGCAGTGAAGCTTCTCGTTCAATTCTATCACGGCAACCATGAACGGCGGCGGCGGTGGCGGAGGTATAGGCGGTTCTCCGTTCAATCCGGCGAACTCCACTCCTAACTTCGATAACCTTCTTCTGCAGTCTCTGATGTCGCGCCTCCAACTCCAACCGCCAAACCGCCGCGTTCCGCCGGAGTTCTCCGACGCGAAGTCGCTCGAAGACCTCTTCTCCGATTTGCTCCTGAATCTCTCCGAATCTGAATCAGATTCCGATTCGGAGAACGAGAATTCGTCGTCTTCCAAAAATCGGCTTGCTAAGGAAGAATCCAGAGTCGAGAAGGAGATCGTGCGCGCCGTCCTAGGCGGAGAGATCGAGAAGCTGAAACCTAATTCCGGCCAGACTATCTCGATCGGCGAGCACCACATCTGCGTAGGTTTTCAGGAGGAAACAGGTTCGGATTACCGAGTTTGGGAATGGCACGGTCATATAATGCTGTTCGACGAGGAGAACGGCTTTGCGCCGGAGTATATCTACGGGAACTACTTCGAGAGGATTGGCGCGGCGAGGAGAGCGTCGAAGGCGCCGGCGACGGCAACGAACAGCGACGACAAAGAGACGAGCGGCGGTAATCTAGGGTTGAAAGATCTGGTTGATGCTGCGGATTCAGGGAGTGATCGGATTCTCCATCGGAGCTTGAATGCGAACTCTGCTCGATCCAAGTTCATGTGACATGATTGATGAATTTCTCCTCGGTGCTTCGATTTCATCAACAGGTATGTATGCATACCTTTTTTTTTTTATTTTTGATAGATGATTTTTTGCATTGTTGTGCACATTTCATCAATTATTTGTGGTTATTGAACATGAATCCATGCTTTAGATTTGATCTGTTCATGATTATATTGCTTTCGGATGTGAGGAACACTCCGTTGAGCTTTCTAGTTTGAGTTTTTTTTATCAACCTAATAGCCAACAAACTAGGCTTGACAGCCAACCATCCCTTATGTGGGACTGGAGGAGTAACTAGAAATTGGAGGTATTCTTTTTGCATGTAATATAAAAAATATAGTATTTAACCTTAAATGAATGACTTTTTATGATACATTTTATATATTTATAGAGAATATTGCCACAAAAAAAATGTTATCTGAAACTAAATCTTACCTGATTCAGTTGATTTTTTCACTCTACTAAAATGCAATATATTATCTCTTCCAAGTCTATTCATGTATATTGTTGAATTTCTTACCCAAACAAAAAATCAATTCTCATTCTTCAATGAATTTTTTTCTAAGTTCTATTTACACTATCATTTTCCGTACAATTCTATTCTTGCTAACAAACACACCATGTGAAATTTGGCGACTTACATGCTGCAAGTTAGTTTGTGCTAGTCAGTGTGGCTATTACTTGTTTAACTAGATGCGGCTTTTAAAGCCTGGTGATAGATCGATCGATTGACCATTCCTGGCTATAGTTGTGGCCTCTCAAATTTGAACATGAATAATTTCAGTCTTGGTGCTAGATTTTCCGCAATATCGACATTTACGGGTTTAGGGAATTAACTACGCAAACATGAATCGCGTAACAGATTGCAGATTCAGGAATTAACATATACATTCTAAAAAATATCATAAACGTCTGCCTGACTGCTGTAAATACCTTCCGGGGGATCAATCAGCAGAATGGAAATCAAACCTCTACTACTTGCAATCTCGATAAATGTAGCAATTTTTTTTAGTTGTTTTTCTGTATTGCTGCTTACACCGTACAGAGATTTTATCGAGTTCATTATTCTAATGCACTTAGGGTATGTTTGTACTTTAAAATTGAGATAGAGTCAGAAAAATCTTTCTTTGTTATGAAAATTGAGAATATAAAGTGTGTTATTGCTTTCACTTTTTTAATATCTAACTTTTACAACTCCTTTGGAGGTATATTTTTGCGATCTCATAAAAATCATATTTAACTTATTTTTTTAAAAAAAGAAAATTACTAACTAAATATGGCCTTATTTCTTCAAGGAAATCATCTCTTGCTTGATTCATTGTTTCCCTCTGATTGCTTCATTTTTTGATTTTTCCACTTACAATATATAATTCTCAGCTGAATTCTTTCTTTTACCAAAGAGAAGAATCATTCTATATTCAATTCTTTTTCCTCTATTATGTTTAGCTGCAATTCTATTTCTACATTTTACGTTGTTAAATTTCACATTTAAATCTTCATGAATATATACATATTGGATTTGCCCTGAAAGTTACATTGCAATGTTAGGTAATGAATGAAGGATCAGTTTGCACCACGAAGATGGAAAAGCACACACACATTTCATTTTTTCCAGATTTCCGGAGCTCGTCGAGCCATCGGAACAGTCTTGTTTTTCGATTTCTACAGTATACAAAATCAGCTGAATGCCTATGTTTCTACTATGGGATTTGTTGTTACTTATTTATGATTTGTAGTAATGAATAAAGTGTTGCCAACTTTGCATCAGTATATTGTTGTGCAAATTATTTATCCTATAGAAATGATTAAACAAAAGTGTAACTCGAAGCCATCATCAAATCATGATGTTTGATCTCCAAACTTTCCAATCTGATTCACCTATGTGTCTTATCATTTTCCATTTATGAATACCAACTTATGCTAACAAAGCTGAAAGAAATCAAATGCACATACTAAACGAAGAACTAAGATCATCAATGCAATTATGAACCAAAACTTGTTCTATTACTTGAGGAAAAAAAAAAATTAAAAACAGAAATGAGCAGTTATTCAACATCTGTTGAATCCAGATGAACAAACACGTATAGAATTTCCTAAATCCATAGCATTTTCCTTCCGCGATTTTATCCGGCAAATAACAATTAAGAAATCCAATGTACAACAGAACAGAGAGCTAAGATCATCAATGGAATCAGGAACCAAAACTTATTTTATTATTGGGGGAAAAAATTGAAAAAAAAAAAAAGAGCAGTTATTCAACATTTGTTAGTCCAGATGAACAAACACACGTATAAGCCCCTAAATCCATAGCATTTTCCTTCGACAATTCTATCTGACGTATAACAATTAAGAAAATCGTAACAAACAACAAATATTCTACGAACTGGTGAATTTAGTCACAGCCTTCGTACCTTCGGAAACGGCGTGTTTAGCCAACTCACCAGGCAAAACAAGCCTCACGGCGGTCTGGATCTCGCGCGACGTAATCGTCGGCTTCTTATTGTAACGCGCGAGCCGCGACGCCTCCATCGCGAGCTTCTCGAAGATATCGTTGATGAAACTGTTCATAATCCCCATAGCCTTACTCGAGATTCCGATGTCTGGATGCACCTGTTTCAGAACCTTAAATATGTAAATCTTATACGTCTCGCTGCTCTTCTTCACCTTCTTCTTCTTCGAATCGGATACGCCTCCTTCCTTGATGATCTTCTCCGCCCCGGCCGGCTTCTTCTCGGCTGGCTTTTTCTCCGCCTTCGGTGCCATTTAGGAAATCTCTGGAGACTGGAGACAATGCGAATGCGGTGGAGATTATGAACGGCGGAATTCAGGAAAAACGGTTTTAGAATGCAAAGCACCATACCGGTACTGCATTGCATATATATATACGCATATGGAAAACTAAGATGTGTTCTTATTGGTTCATTTTGTGGATCGTTGCGCTGGCAAAATTCAGACCGTCGGATTAATATTAGTTCAATGGATATGCAGTCAGCAAACTGGCCATACTAACTAAAGTATATTTATCTCGTGTTAATATGTTTATTAATTAATTTTTAGCAAAATCATCAAGTGGTTTCACAAAATTGTACCGAATTCTCACTTTTTTTTAAAATAAATCAAATTTTCTCGTAGTTTTATAAATCTTGCGTCTAACCCCTCGGCCGTCTTTATTTAATGGTGTTTGACCTACACGCACTCAAATTATGAATAAATTTCATATTACTAATTTATAAATTCTTAAAATTATAAACATATTAATTTCTCTTATATTTAGTCTCAAATAACATTTAAAAATAACTTTTAAAACTAGAAAAAAAACAATTATTTCGGAGTATATTTATTATTTCTTGAGATTAAATACTAAAAATAATAAATATATTTGTAATTTAAGGGTTTAGAAATAAAGATTGTAAAACTTATTTGCATTTTGGGTGTGTGCATGTCTAAAAGAGTTAAATAAGGACAGTCGAGGGGTAAGACCAAAGTTTATGAAACTACGAGGAAGTTTGAGATAATTTTGAAATAATAAAGAATTTTGCATAATTTCGTGAAATCACCGGTAAATTTTGTGTAATTTAGCTATTGATTTTTAGTTTTTGTTGTATATTAGTATTCTCTCCCTCCCTGCTAATTTGTCTCATTTAAATTAGGCACGTAGTTTTACTTATTGTGTAATTAGTGAGTAATTAAAAATGTATTAGTAAAAATAATTATAATTTAATAAAAATAATTTAAAATTAAAATTAAAATTAACTAAATAGTTTAATTAAAATAAAAATAATTATAAATTATGAATTTTAAAATATGATTAAAATATATAATTGTGTTTGACAAATTAAGTGGGAACAGACGAAAATAAAATTAATAAACAAATGCTAATAATAAAATATTTTATATATATCGAAATATAAAGATTTTATGGTATTTCTCTATACATCGAATAAAGAAGTTCAGTACGATGTTATATCAATATTTTCCATATTTTGTTTTATAGGATATGTTAGTTTCATAATTCAATATATTTTTCTTTAAGATATAATTATTAAAAAAAATTACAAATATATTAATTTAAAACTAATTAAAATGACAAACTAAATACTCCATTACAGAAAAGATGTCTTATTGGGAATGAGCACGAGAATTAACGAATAATAATATTTAATTGGAAGTGGGTATAAAACAGAAGGTAAAAGACTAGATATCCTTATTTTTTGAACGATTTTAAAAATTATATTAGAGTAATAATTACGAAAAGTTTGAAAAAATAAGAATAATTTTGTTATAAATAAGACAATTATTTTGAGACGAAAGAAAATAAAAAATAAAACAACTTGGGACGGGAGAAAGTACTATATATTACGAGCAGAGTGAATATTTCAAATCTTGCCCACAACGAAATGATAATATATGCTCTGTGAACTAGGATAAAATATATTTATTGCTGATTGACAACATAAATATATAAATGGATTATATTTTATAAATGAAAATACATTTTAATTTTTTAAAAGCAAATAAATATTAAGTTACTGTAAATCAAGCACGAAGTAAGTTACTATTGTTCTATTTTTTTTTAAATACAAATTTTATATTTTTATATTTTATTTATTTATTATTTTTAATCTCTACTCTACAATTAATGATAAATTTATCAATTTATAATAAAAAAATAATCATTTAAAAAAATTGTACTAATATATTTTAAAACGAACCGAAATTGGACTTAGAGAATAAAAAATTATCTTTAAACAGGACATAAATAAATAAATACGATTAATAAAAATATCATTAGATTCCAAGAATAATGATGATGTGCTTAAAAAATGGATTGGATATTTTTTAATATTGAAATGCGTGTGTATGTATATGTGTATATATATATTTGTTGTATTGAAATGAGGAGGTGATTATCTGCTGATTGTTTTCTCCTCCGCAAAAGCGACGACTCTGACGCATCTCCTAGGGTTACGCTCAACGATGGAGATCCTTCCGCGCCTCCTGGATTTATACATTCGTTGAGAAAGGTTCATTTCGGATTCGATCGATTTTCGCTTGCAGGATAACTGAATTTGATTCACAGAAGTTTGACTCCTTGAAGAATTATTGGGGAAAAACCAAAAAATTGGAGACTTTGTGAGTCGGAGAGCATCGAAGGATGTATTCGGTGCCTTCCAGCAACGTGATTCTGGTCACGCGCCTCCACGTATCCTCCTTCTATGGCGGCTCGTCATCGCACCGTCGGAAAAATCTTCAGAAAAGCGATCGGCGTGGTAATCTTAGCAGTTGACGTTTAGCTAGGAGAAGTATTGGCTTGTTGTTAGATTCGATTTGTTGTTTTTCATCGATTTCTTCTTCTTCCGCTTGCTTTCTGTTTTGTCTGAGTTTGGACGAAGTGCTGCAAGTTCGCCTTTGGCCGTGGAGCTGAGATTTTTGGAAGCTGAGGTATCGCTGTTGGCAGATCTGGTGTTTCTGTTGGATAGGTATTTGTTTAGAGTACTGATAAGGAGCATCTGTGTGCAAGGCGTTTGGGTAAGTGTTGTTACTTCCTTGAGATAATCTTATCTATGTTGATTTTGCATCTATATTTTTCTAACTACAGGATCTTCATCGTCCATATATTGAGTCTGAGTTCGAGTTTGAGTTTATATCCACTGTGTTCTTCTCCGTTCGAAGTAATTGATTGTGCTCATTGTTTTTTCAGCTTTTTATAATTTGTTATCTTTTCTTATAGATTGATCTGGATTGTTAAGGCTATTGTTATATGCTTAGAGAATAACAATTAACACATTCTGTGTGGATTACTTAGATATAATATACTATAATATACCTGTTTTTCGATGATTTGTCTTCACATCTTTCCAAATGATTGATGATTTTTTGCATTTACAGCTCTTTCCTTCAGTTGCTCCTATTGTATATGGAAGTTGCTGTACCTTGTGATAAGTCAGCTGCTCGTCAACTATCTATAAGCAGCAGTGTTGGAACATCAGTAGAGCTACGCAATCCGATTAAGTGCAGCTCCTCTGATCTTTCTATGAATGATCTAAATTCGTGTTTTATCAAATGTCTGAGCATCGAAGACCCTAAGAATGCCTCAGGAAAGAATGGAGTGAAGGAACATGAATGTGCAAACATCGATGAAATTAGTTCCAGGAATTCATCTTCTGAAAAATGCCTTTGCAAGTGTGTGACATTTCCACTTCATCATGGCCCTAAATCGTCTGAAAGTGTATTCTTAGGTGAGGAAGAGAAGCGCGACGAACACATAAGTGCTGAAGTTAATGGCTTCACTAAGCCTTCTGATCAGCACTTTCCGCGCTCCAAATCCTTACCTGTGAGTTTTTATTTCGATTCTTCTGGAGCTTTTATTTCGATTCTTTTGATTAAATTACTAATTCCTTTCACTTAAAATAGTTGTGTAGTTCGGTAATCACCATATAAAACAAACAAACGACGCATACTTTTATTTGATGCATATTCTGTTAATTAAAAGCATGTTGATGAATATATTTTTCGCGCATTTGTAGCATGTGTGGTGTGAGATTATGTGATGTTCCGACTATTTATGTAGGGTGTGTTTGTTTGGGATTTTGGATTTTGAATTGAAATTTGAATAGTAGAATTTTTAACTTAAATGGTTGTATAATGCGATATAAATAGGTGTTTGATTTGATATTTTTGGAGAAAAGAAATTTGATGAATAGTAAATGTTTGGGAAAATCTCATAAATGAACACACCAGTACTGTATTTTTATTATATATGGTGCGATGTCAAATTATATGCTGCAATTGTATTATGTTAATACAATTTTAATTATTATATCAAAACGTAGTAAAATAAGGAAAATAAAAAGAAGGCAAAAAAATACTTATAATACTAATAGAAGGACGTTTATATAAAAAATTATACAAATATAAGGATATTTTTAATGTTAATCCGCAAAAGGTAAATGTAAACTTATTAATTGGACGGTGGAAGTACATTATGCTAATATATTATGTGTTGTCTGTTCCTATATCATGTATTATTAGTTCTTGTTTTGTATTTGTATTATGTTTGTATAATTCATACGATGTCTATCTCTATACTCTGTTCGACGAATTCATTTGCATCATAAACATTCTTCTATACGATGCAAGCGAGCCAAAACTGTATCTATCTTTTTTGATATATTCTCACCTCCCTTCGATGTTTTCGCTGCATTTTGAATTTAGTCGCCTCTATTATACAATAAAAAACAGTTCTCGACAAAATTATTAACTTCTACACCAATCTTATTACCATCTCAGGTTCCATCGAAGCTTGCATCTGCCTTGAAAGGCACCCGCGAAAAGCAGGGCTTATCATCGCCTAAGAAACTATCGGTATCATGGGCCCCCAACGTGTACGATCCAATTCCTACGTCAGTGTCGCATGTACCGTCGTCATCATCGTACACGAATCAGCGCCACGGGAAAAAGTATGGTAAGTATAAGAAGGGTGGCGGAGGAGGAAAATCCTCGCGGGGCAGCAAAGGTAAAGACAAGAAATATGGTCGGAAAAATGGAGGGGAATCGAGCAAAATCAAGGCGTTACATGGAGTCGGCTTTGGCCCGGCTCAGATAGGTAGTATTGTAGAATACGAGGTCGGGAGCCCGAGATTCAGCCCGAACCCGAACCCGAACTCGACATGTGAAAGGAGTTTTCTGGAGAATTCTGTGGGGAAGTTGCACTTTCCAGCTGCAGAGGCTACCTGACTGAAGGGCCTTATTTTACTCTAAGTAAATAAATAAGATAGAATTTGTAGAGGAGAGGTTAGAGATGCTATAAGACTATGAGTGATATGGCTTGCAATGGAGGGACTTGGGATGGTCTTCTTGTGAGTTTGGTTTTTTTTTTTTTTAATAATAAAAATAATAATTTGGAACTAGGTCATTATGGTAAGTCATACTAAGGAAGCCTGTTTGGCAGGAATTGATCCACCTGCGTAAAGTCGACTACCCAGTTTGGTTGTATTTGTGTTATCGTACGCCGTACCAAAATGAGAATTCTTTAAGCATTTGTGTTATGGTACGCTGTACCATAGTGAGGGTCTTTTGGTCAGAAATTTGTAAGTATGTGTGTTATGGTAAGCTGTAACAAAGTGAGAGGTTTTTCAGGGGTCGGATTTGTAGCCATGAAGTTATGAATTCAAACCCCCAACGCCTCAAGGCGTCTGTCACATATAGTTCGTCTAACGTAATTTATCTGTCGAATCTAATTTGCAATATATTATGTTCAATTGGAGGTTTACGAGTATGCACTTTCAAGTAGCTGCTGAGATTTCACATCATTAAAAAGAAAAAAGTTAAAGGATTTTTTTGTATTAAATTTGACCAAAAATTTATTGAATAACCGCTGTAGATTTTCACAGAAAGTGAGGTTTCTTCTTTTCTTCAACGGGTTTGGTTTTGCATTGGATAGAGAAGATCATTTGGGCGTATAATAGTGAGATACGTTTTGTGGTATTGAGGAACTAATGATACCTATAGCTGTTGTTTCTTTTAAATTTGAATACTAATTTGTAAAATATATATATATATATCTTATTAAAAGATTTAGAATATATATTTTCTTTTTTGGTATAAACTGGACAAGCTTAAAAAGAGCAAATTCAAAAACATACTTAGCAGTTAGCAAATAGTATAATCTAAAAAACAGATATAATTCATTTCTAATTTTAATAAATTTATTTACTCCAAACATACTTAGTTCCAAAATGAAGGTAGTATAAGACAATTTTGAGTTCAATTTTTTTTTAAAAAAAAGTTCATATGATAATAAAATAGTCTTATATTTTTACTAAATTATCAAATACCACTATTATAGACTCCCATAAATTACCTATCACAAATGATTAGTACAAAACAAAATAGAGATATTGAAAAAAAAGTAGTAATATAATAATACTCCCTCCGTGTCTCATATACCGTGTCTACGTAGGAGGAATGTAATTAATAGATAATTAAAAATATATTAGTAAAAATAATTATTTTATAATATAAATAATTATAAATTAAGATTAAAATATATACTTAGTTTAATTAAAATTTAAAAAAAATTAAAAAATATAAAATGAGATTAAAGTGTATAATCATTTTCCCAAAAAGAAAAGTAACATAGAATGTGGGACGGACAGAAACGGCAACGTGGACATGGTACATGGGACGGAAAGAGTAATAAATAAATAAATAAATAAACTTGCACATGTAACAAGAGAACAAAAAAGAACAGCACAGAGTCTCCAAATAAAAAGAGACAAACCAGAATTTAAACCATTTCAGTTAGTACCTGAGGGAAGATTTAGAACAAAATCTCTTGGTCTTTGTTTGTAATGTTCTCCACAAGCTAAAACAGAATCCAGCAATCTACAATGTATAATATAAATTTAAGTATAATAACAAATTTTATATTATCAAATTATCAATACCGGGACGTGGGGGGCCCGCTCCATCCGACAGTCTTGTTCGTCGTAAACCCCATAGTTTCCGTGGATTGCATTTCCTGCCGAGGTGGGGGGCGAGGCTGTGCTTCCCTATTTCTAGCAGGATCGACAAAAATTACCCAACCATCGAGGAACTTGGCATTCATACCTTCCCGGGCTTTCTCAGCCTCTTCGATTGATCCATAGGTTACAAAACCAAACCCCTTTGATCTTCCGGAGCCTCTGTCGACTATCACTTTTGCTGAATAGACAATGTAAAGAATAGGCAGTGTAAAAAAAAGAACGATAAATATGAACTGTTTGTTTTAAGAAGGTAAAATTGAGATATTAGTTCACCTTCGAGAAGTCTGCCGAAGGGTGCAAATGCTTTGTAGAGATTCTCGTCGGTTGTGTTCCTTGAAAGACCTGCAACATTGTTAACCATTGATTAGTTCTTCACAGAATTCGGAATAATATCGGATTGGTTAAAAAGAAAAAGGCCGATAACACCTGTTGCCTCTTCATAGACAACCAGAGGTTAGTTGGAAATTCTCTAAAGTGGTGACTTTATATGAAATTATTTAATGTTTCGATTAATTTTTTTCCTCAAAAAATATCATCCAGTCAAATTCATATTTTTTATTCAAATTTAAAATTTTACTATTAAAAAATACAAACCAAAATCCTAATCCTATAAAAAAAACCACATCCTGGTTGTGTTCTTTTGTAGGTTTTACCATAAGTTTTTACTATTCAGATTCTTTTGTTTCTCTAAAAATATCACATCAAACAATCACTTCTTTTTTTTTTATTTATATTATACTACAAATTTATTTGACATTCAAAACATCACATCAACCTTTATTTATATCATACTAAACAACTATTCTAATTAAACTGTTTATTATTCAAAAATCCAAATCTAAAAACTAAAGCCCACAAACAAACACACCTAAGTGTTTGTGCATAAGTTTTTCTTACGCCTTAGGATATGTTTACTTTCCATGATCATTAAATTTGATAATCGTGTCTTCAATATAATATGATTGTAATGCAATCAAGCAAAGGAAACAGACAACCTAATAACAACGAAAGACCACCACTTGAGCTCGATTATATACAATGGAGATCAAATTTCATGATGGATTCTGCACACACATGTAATTCTGAGGAGACTAAGACGTAATCTGTCAAAATCTTTTAAGGGCTTTTCATGAATATACGGCTATGTAAATGTAAGAAGTTCTATAATAAGAATATAAGATAGAGGGTACAATGGTTTTTTAGTTTGTATCTTTTAACGTTAAATTAAAGCAAGAATTCAACAAGATGAATGCTATTCAACTGAAATGATAGTTAATCCAACTCTAATGGATAAACCAGGTATGCACATGAACTAACAAGTACCCTTTGGGTTTGTTCACTTTCAAAAAAACTACATAGAAAGTTTCGGACCAGTTCTCAATAAGAATTCATTATTTTCTTTCATAAAATATTTTTAAAAACAACAAAAACAAAAATTCAATAACATAAACAAAAATCTCCACCAAAAAATAATAATAAGAAAAAAAATCTAAAAACTAAAAGAACACAACCTTTGATACATTAAAAAAAAAAAGTGAAATAGAGCATTTACTTGTCAACATAACCAAGCAGTGATTTGAACAAAAATCTCCCAAAGCATTTATTCAAAGATAGACACTGTTGAAATTTCTGTATTGCAAACATAAAGAAGTCTAAATAAGATGAGGGGGGTGTATTGGTTGCGGAGTCTAGAGGATTTCTTTAGAATTTTCAAAGATCGGGAATATTCAATCCGAATTTTAAAAAGTCTTTGAAAATCATTAGGTATTCAATATGAATTTAAAAATAAATAAATAAATCTTTAGGTATTAAAAAGTCCATTCTTTTCCAACAATATATAGATAGATAGATAGATTTCACTCTACAATTAGAGGGGAGAAAAACCTTTGTTCCTCAGTGTTAGGTGCTACACAAAACATTGCAGTTAGATTTTGTGAATGGATTTGTTGAAGCTATTTTGCTCTTTCTATTTCTTATATTTTGTGTATGGTTGAGAAACTACGGACATCAATGAAAACCAATTAGGATAACTTTTTTTATATACATAGTGTGTTCCATATATCTAGTCTGTGCAGCTTGTGGTCTTTCTAAATACACACATTTTTAAGGTATAAAAAATAATAATAATAAAATAAAATAAAATCAATAAACCACCTAAGTCATGATCCTCTAGTTCAAAGCAAAACTATTCAAAATTGGTAAAATTTTCAATTCGAATTTAGAAGCCACTGACAATTCAACAAGATACACAAATTCGTTATGATGAATTATATATATATGGCGAAGGAAAACATCATGAAGCGAAAAAATTGTCAGATAAGACAAGCAAAGGATCACACACATACCGCTAACGAAGAGCTTGGGAGAGGTGAGAGTCGGAATCGTAGAATTCGTAGAATTGAAACGAATCGAAGCGAAATGAGATCTAACATTCACCGCCGGCGCAGACGATCCGCTAAGAATGCGACGGAATGCAGAGACGAGCGCCATTCGCTTCTTCGAATATCGCGCCTAAGGGTTTACGGAAATGGCCGAGAAACACGTCGTCCAGCTCAAAATAGCTGCAAATGATATTCACACCTGCTTCACTGTCGAATTGACATAACGAAACAACAAATAAACACACCGAATTGCTAAAAATGCTTGAAACTCTAAGTCGCCTCACTTCGAGCCATAAGAGATTTGAAATAAGAGGACTGACCTTACAAAAATTGACGCAGCTGACTAGCTTTCCGGCGAAGAGAAGACGCAACCGACAAAATCACAAAGAAGGAGAACAAAGAAGAGCGGCCGAGGCGCCGCCGTCCGTCCGCCGAGGAGAAAGCAGCTGAAGCGAAGAAAATCGGAAATGGAGAAGGTAAAGGAGAAATAAAATGAAATTGAATGAAATAGGGTTTGGGCATTGGGCCTTAAAAGAGGAGAAGTTTTTAAACGCTTGAACCGGCCCAATCTAGTATCGGATAGGGTTTGTTTGTTTGGGTTTGAATTTGATTTTCGAATAATAAGAGTTTCGAATTGAATAATGTAATATAAATAAATAATGATATAATAATTTGGAGGTAAAATTAATTTTATCATATTACAAAAAAATAAAGATAAAGTTGGACTGCGTGTCTTTGGAGAAAGAAAAATACAATATAATGGATAATAAAAATTCTTGTAGAAATCTCTAATCAAACACCACCGATGTATTCGTTTAGGGTGTTTTTTTTTTCCCTTTTTATTTTTAATTTAGAGTGTTCTAAAATAATACCCATTTCGTCTAAGAACTATAGGTTATATTTAGCACGGAATTTAAAAAATATTGATATTATATTAATAATTGATAAAAAAATATGGGTAAATAATTTGTGTAAAAAATAGTGGCAACTGTGTAATAATAATAAAAATATATATAAATAATTATAATGATCTGATTATTGTGAAAATGAGACTATTATTTTGAAACGAACAAAAATAATAAATAAGACATGAAATATTATATATAATAGTATTCACTATTTTAATCTTGTATCACACCTTAGCCATCTTTAGCCTCCATGGATACTTCTGAACGAAGCTTATAAATAGCCGGTCTATAGATCTCACATATCTATAGAATTTTCCAACTAAATTCTTAATTTTATGGAACTCGCTCAATCAATTCAGAAAATCTAAAAACCACCTCACAACATAATCCAAAACAAGCATAGTGAAAAAGAAGATAACCAGACCCCGATCTCTCAGATCACCTACCAATCTAGTGTGACTTGTCTGTGGGCAGCCGAAAATTTATAACCGCAGATTCTCGTGTCATAAAAATAAATTAATTAATTAAATAATCAATATTCTCGATTCAGAACCAAAATCTAAAATGAGGAGATGATTTATGGAGCAGGAGCACTTTTTGAAGGGTTTGAGAGGGGAGGGAAGGTCGGTGATGTGAGGAATTTTTATTTTTTTTTCCCTTTTTGTATAATTTATAAAATTATTTTTTTCAAATAAAAACTATTGAACAGTTTAAATATGATTTCGTATATTGGCACGTAAGTGAAAGGAAATGATAACTCTTAGTCTCTTATAATACATATACAATGATATTTGTCGAGTAAATTATTCAAATATAATGATATTTTTAATATTAAATACAATGACGCAAAAACTAAATGGCAACCTTCTTGCGGGACGAAGGGAGTATTACCTTCTAAAAAATATATATAATAGTCCTTCTGTCATCTGCGTTAAGACCATGTTCAATCCATCATCTCCATTAATCCAATTTTAACTGCATATTCAGTTTTAACTTCAAATATGCAGTAATTTTACTTCAACCGTAATTCCATTTTTCGCTATTTCACTATTATTCTTCAAATATTCAATTTTCCCTATTATTTTAAACAACTTTTTATTTTTATAATTTAAAATAAAATTTTAAAAATTTTAAAAAATAAAAATTAAATTTATAATTTTAAAAATTTAAAAAATTAAAAAAAAATAAAATAAAATAAATAGCATTTTGCTAAAATGATGTTGCCCTGTAGCAAACTCCAAAATTGGAGCTTGAAATAGCGCTGGATTGGAGCAGCGTGGCGGCAGAAATAGTGTTGAAACGCTATAAATACAGCGTGGTTAGAGATGCTCTAATGTATATTTTTCTACTTTTTTTTCCGTTACGCATTAATCTTTTTATTTTTATTTTTTCCGTTACGCATTAATGTATATATCTTTTATTTTCATCTATCATATATAAATATATACATTTTCCTTTTTAGTAAATCATGAACTCTACATTTTTCTACAAATATCATTACTTTGCAATTATTTTATTACCTTTACATTAAAAAATAAAGCTAAAATAATCTTTACAATATTTTAAATACTCACTAATAATAATCTTATTAATTATTGTATAAAATTGCTTTAGATAATGGTAAGTAAATAATTTATATAGTATATCCTAGTTTCTCCATCCCGGATAAATTATCCATGATATAATAACAAAAAAGTTAAAAGTAAAATATAACTAGAAAGTAAATAAAAAATGAATTAGTAAAAATAATTAAATAATTTTAGTTAAGATTATGAACAAAGTTTAAAATGTGATTGAATTATATAATCATATTTTGTTAAAAAGTGACAAATTATATATGATGAACTTAAATGAAAAAAATGGACATTTTACATTTTCAATGGATATCATAATTTTTAATTTAAGGTTTTCTTATAAATATATATATATATATATATTAGTAGTTGGATCTCTATTAAAAGTGATCCTATGGCCAGAAATCAATCGTGAGCAGCAAAAAATAAAGTGGAGTTATATTAGCAATATGTGCAAAATCAATCTTTCAACAATGTTAAAACGTATATGACTTTTGCACTCCAAAGTATCAACAATAGCGTAAGGGTGTGTTTGTTTGGGGGTTTGAATTTTGAGTTGGAATTTGAATAGTAAAAATTTTGAATTTGAATAATTGTATAATGTAATATAAATAGGTGTTGATTTGATGTTGATTTTTAGTATAATATAAAAAATGAAAAATAAGTGTTTGATTTTATGTTTTTTGGGAAAAAAATTGGATGAATATTGTAAATCAAATTCAATCCCCCAAACAAACACACCCTAATCTATTCAACTACAAATAATAAAGTTATCATCAAGTAACAAATTCAGAGTTGCAGTGCAGTAGTTTCAAGATGCAGATTAACGACCAACGCTCAAGGAAAGTTTATAGGATGAAAATGAGAATAAAATTAGCTAAAAAGTTGTATTGGAAAGCTTCAGAGGATGAGAAACACTCGAAAATGTATGGTTAATATAAATATATATTTATATATATATATAGAGAACAAAATCTATATCACAATTTCACAACTACAAAGTATTCAAACTATATGATTAATGGAGTTTTTGAGGACGATTAGCAATCACCGAAACAGTATAAGAATTTTGCAGATATAGAACAGAGTAATAGACATTTTATTGATAATAATCACAAAGGTACTGAACCAGCACAGAGATTGGGCAAAAACACACTGATTAGGCATAATTAAGCGTAAACTAACCGAATTGAACTGATTCAAGCACCAGGAGCTGCATCCTTAGCCTTACTCTGGAAATACTCACCGTGCGGTTCCCTAGCATAATCTGCGGAATACCTCGCCGTCGAATTCAACCGTTTCGAACCGTTTTTGAGATACTTGAAGATCCAGGACAGCGTCGTCGCCGTTGCGACAGAAAATCCGAAAAGCGTCGCTAAGAAGGTTGCGGAGATGAAAATCAGAATGCTGAGAGGAATCCAGATCGGACTGGAGATGAGGATCAACGGAATGAAGAAAATTAGAGCGAGAAACGTCGCGGTTAGGGTTAGACCGCTGAGGAACAGCAAAATAGCGCTGGAGATCACTAGCGTCGCGAATCCGGTTAGTCGAGGGGAGTGCGGCGCGTGATCTCTGAGCTTTTGGATGAAGAAGAAGGCGGCGGCGGCGAATGGCGCGGCGGACGGTTTTCTCGGAGGATACTGCCAATCGGCCATTGTTGAACGATTTTAGAGAAGCAGTGTGGAATGGATGAAGATATGAATGACGGATGCGTGACGCGTGTGGCCGTTGATTTCATGCACGTGGACACGTGTGCATATAGGTTTGTTTGTTTGTGCCTTTTTTGGCACAACTGCAATTTCATTTTTTATTTTGTCTAAAATTTTCAAAATAATATTGGACCCCAATTTGATGCCCAGCACTAAGGAATATCCTAAATACCCACGTGCCCAATTCTACAGGCTTTGTTCGCAACGGTGTTTTTTTTTTTTTTTTTTTTATAAATATAAAAAATATATCCTAAATTAAAATTAATATTTTATATTCAATTACAACATTCTATACAATTACCTTATTCGTTAACAATATGTGTTACCTTCTTAGTTTTTATTGTAACAATATGTGTTACCTCCGTTAGGAAATACAATTAATTCCAATTTATATCTTTATCAAAAATTTATTATCTCTATAAAAATAATAAATAATTAATTATTTAATTAATTATAACTTAAAACTTAAATTTTAAAATTTTAAATTATCAATATTTATCTGTACAAATGCACATTCAATTTTATTTCAAAATAACATGACTCACCTAAGTATTTTTCAATAATCTATTTTTTTATATATTCAATTTTAATATTTAAAATATTTATATTCAATATTTTTTCGACTAATTCTTTAACAAAACTATCAAAAACGAAAAATTATTTGAGACAATATATTAATCTGATTTTACTTCAATCATTCAGATTTTTAAATGCTATTCATTTTACAAATTTAAATAATTTTAATATTTCATAATATAAAAAATTATATAATATTATTATAGTTTATATACATTAATATTAAAAAAATTAAAATATAATATGACATAACAAATATTATTTATATATTATTAAATAATAAAAATAAACAATTATGATGAATTTTATAAAATTGTAAAGGTAATAAGTAAAAGTAACGATACTATAACTATAGCGGGTGTTCAAATAAATAATTTGAATAATAATGTAGATATGATGCGAAAGTAATATATAAAAAAGGTAATGCAGTAGAGACATTCACCGTAACGGATGCTCTTATTAATTGTTTTAGCATATATACTAGCATTTAAACCCGTGCTATGTACGGATGTATACATAATTAAAATATTTTAAAAAATAATAAATAAAGTATAAATAATTATTATTTTAATATAATGTTACATTATATATGTATGTTTAAATGTTAGTTTTTATTTGAGAAAAATTAAAATAATTTCAATGTAAATTTTTGCATAATACATTCCAAATAAAATTATTGTATCTAAGTTAGAAGAGACAAAATAATTGAGACATATAAAATATTAGATGATTAAAATACTAATGCAAATTTATAAGATTGCAAATCCGCCAAACTAAAATATGCAAATCAAGTTATTAATGAGAAAAAAAGAAAAAAAAACAATAGAAGTACTCATCGTTTTTTTTTTATATATATATTTTTCTACTTTTATGTATTGTAACAAATAATACATTATAATATATACAAAGTATGTATAAATATATGCAATAAAAATATAATATGTATGTGTTTAAAAATATGAATAAAAATAAATAAATTCAAATAACTTCAATGTTATCTTCCTCTGCAACATATAATATGTAGGTGTTTAAAAATATTATCCTAAAATTTATTAGGTTGAAATAAAAAGATTGCGTAATGATAAAATAAATAATATAATGTTACTTTGATATGTAGTATGGTTCGTTGAAATAGAAGATGGTATAACTTTGTTATCTTCTAAGTTGTTCTGGTCATTCACCGGAAGTGAAGATGTAATAACTTCATCATCTAAAAAGTATGTGAAAAATAACACCATATTAATAATATGATATATAATAGTACTGATATTATTTGAAGACATATTTGAATAAATTGAAGAAATAGTAGAATTAAACAAAGTAATAATAATGCAGGACAATTTTATAAAATAATAATACTATATCTTCTAAATAAAACTATACAAAGATCTTAGCATGAAATAACACAACAATAACAATAATATTTTTGGAAGAATATTTGTAAATATATTTTTACATGAATTCACAACTACTAATCCAATAAAATTATTAGTCACCTGGTTGAATTTGTCGTGTTTGATTTATTGGATTTCTTCGAGTATACCTCATTCTTATATGTAAGTTTGGATAATTTGGAGGGTTACTCGAAAGGTTGTAATTACAACAAAGCCATTGACATTCGCATTTTTTTGTTTTGCTTGGACAATATTCATCTATATAAACATAAATAGATAAAAAATATATATTTACTTATTAGAAATAAGTAAGTAATCAGTAAAAATAAAAAATTGGTGGGTCCACCCTTGTGAAAGGTTGAGCGAACTACACCGGAGACAGACCGAAAGTCCTAATTTGCTTTAATTCAATCACTATCATTTATAGAAAGAAATAGGGCATTAGTAAGTCGTTTAAATTGAAAATTACTTACCATAGCAAGAGAACTTCAGATCCAAATGCATCTACACTCCACAGTTAGCATCATCAATGTCGAGAATTGCATCACAAGAAAAAATCAAAATAAAACAAAGTAACAATTAACAAATTGAAATAAAACAATTAAGAATTAAATGTATAAAAATATGAAAATTGTTCTGAATTTATGAGATGTATAAATAAAAACAATTGAATTACCTTAATACAAATTATTATGTGATATTCAACCAGATTCTTAAAAGCTAAATGGTTGAAAGCGAAATGTGAAACCTTCTGCAAGGATACGTGATTATGAGATGAAGAAATTGAAAAAAAAAAAATTGTAAAATTTAACTCCGAAAAATCTAAAATTTTAAAATGTCAATGAATCAAGAGAATGTGGGGTCCATACCATTTGCTTATATATATATTACACTTTTCGTCTCAACTAATTTGTCTAGCTGAAGCAGGAAGTGTTAGATTTATGTAATTAGTAATTAACAAAATATATTAGTAAAAATAATTATAAATTATTACATATTTTAATTAAAAAAACATATGAATTATAAATTTTAAAATATAATTAAAGTGTATAATTGTATTTTTTTAAAAAAATAATAAATTATATAGAACGAGACCGAAATATAAACAATGGCCAAATTGGACGAAAGGAGTATGTAAGTGTATATATAATACTCCCTTCGTCCTACAAGGAAGTTCCATTTTTTATTTTCGTATATCCCCAAATAAGGGTATCATTTCATAATTTAATAATTGTACTACTTACCTAATATAATAAATACCATTGCAACAATATATTACACAAATGTCACCACCTTTCTATTACACAATATTAATAAGAGTATTTTTATTTTTTTTACTAAAACTCAATATAATACTAATATTAAAAAATTTACGTGCAAAAAACAAGCGTTACTCTTTATACGAGACATTGAGTATTTTATTTTATAATATCCATTGAAAATAATGCAACATAAATTATTAGATTAATATATTTATATATACTTATTTTTAAAAAATTTGATATTATTCAGCAAATTATTTATTTACTTATTTTTAAAATATTATACTCTATCGGTTATTTGTAAGAGTTACATTTTTTATCGTCTATATGCAAGAATGACATTTTATTTACTTAAATATCTTTTTTTTTTTTTTTCAAAATTTTACAACTTGTTTTATTATAATTTAAAATTAATTTGAAATTATATTAATTTTAAAACATATGTTACAATATGATACCTTTATTATTATCTTTTTCGTTTTTACTTTAACAAAATTCATTATCTTTAAAATTAGAAATACAATTATCAAAATTTATTACATTTCTCAAAATTTGATTACCTAAAAAAAAAAATTTATCTAAAAAAATTAAAATTTCAAAATTTTAAAATTTCAAAATTGAAAATAAATTATCTATAAATATATTTAAAATTCATGAATCAATTCTCACACGTTATTTATCATATTTTAAAATTATTTGTTATTCTTTACATTTCATATTTAATCCAACAAGATGATTCATTTCAATCAATTCTTAAATCAAAGTGTTTGAAATAAAAAATTTTTAGACAATGAATCAAATTAAGTATATAAAAATATTATAAAATAATAAAAATATGTATAAATAAATAAATTATTTATTTATTGCTTATACATATATATATTAGTATTACGTAATAAAAACATATAAAAATTAATAAATTATCGTGGATTTATAAAATAGTAAATATATTGAGATAAAGTAATTTAGTATAAGAGATGTTCTTATTCTTTTTAGATAGTATTTTAATATTATATTTTATAAAAACAAATACTACATTCGTCCCATAAAATCAGTACAATTTTTTTTTTCATGTAAATTTTTTAATATTAGTATTATATTGATTTACAATGAAAAAGAAAAAAATATTCATATTCCCTCTGTTCCGGTACAAGGTTGTCATTTATTTTTTGCACGTAAATTTTTAAATATTAGTATTACAATGAGTTATTAGTGAAAAAGACAAAAATACCCTTATTAGTAATGTATAATATAAAAGTAATAACATTTGTGTAATATAGTGTAAGTTTGAAGGATAATTATTATGTTAGGTAGGTAGTAGAATTACTAAATTAGGAAATTGTAACATTGTTTTAAGACGGACGAAAATGGAAAATAATAATATTTCAATGGGACGGATGGAGTATTAGATTGCGTGATATAGAAGTAATGTCATTTGAGTAATATATTAAAAATTGTAAAGATATTAATTATATTAGATTCGGCCGAGGTTTACCCAATGCACACTTTCGGGTAGCGACTGTGAATTTTCACGTCATAAAAAATAAAAAATAATAATAATACATTTGTACAAAAATGAAAAATATGAGCGAATAATATATTTTTATCAAAAAATAATTATTATTCAATTCGTAATCACAATTAAAATTTATAAATAATATTTTTAAACATACAAATAATAAATATTTACTATATTTTTTGGGATAAATTATATGATACTTCATATGTTCTAATAAAAATGAACAAAATACTTCATATTTTATTTATTGTATAAATCAATTGTATTAAATTAAAATATGCATAAAATAATAAAATATCACCTCCCTCTAAATTTGATTATGAATACGTATTTAATTATGTACATTTCATTTCAATAAAAACAATAAAATATCTAATATTATTTTTTTAATAAAAAAATAATTTATAAATCATTCGTGTAATTGTTTTTTTTGGAATCAAAATACTGTCTAATTTTACAAAAAAAAAATGATATAAGAAAATATGATCAATTATTCATTTATTTATTAAATAAAACTATATAAACTATTTTATTTATGTAAAAATTACATAATTAAATGTGTTTACAATCAACATCAAATTTGAATTTAAAAAATAAAATAAAATTTATGCCTACTTCAATTTAATAGAACATGAACTCAAGCAATGAATAAAACTAAATATTTTATGCATTTTACTATTAACTAATTTTTAAAGAATATATAATAATAATTTATATGTTTTTTAGATTAAAATTTTAAATTAATTTTAAATTAATATTTTAAATAATAATAAATTCGATATTTTATTTAAAAGCAATTTTTAAAAACATAAAATGAAAATAAAAAAATGGATAAGAAAAGAAAAAAAAAAAAAAACAACTCATAATTCTTCTCCAACAGGAATAGAATAGTCAGAGTCTGGTGTGAAATGCGCGCCGCCGAGGACGACTTTTTCTGTTAGGAGGCCCAAATTAAAAGGAGACTTTAAGGTCGGCTCCGATCGGCTCGGGTGGGCTTATTCGGGTCGGGTCTTGACCGCGTCCATAATCAAACCAAATGGACGGTCGCCAGCAATTAGGGTTTGGGAACATTCTGGAATGCCAGCTCGCTGGTCCCTCCCTTATATAAATAAATCATTTTCCCACTGAATGGCTCCTCTCTAAACCCTAGTTCTCCTTGCCTTACATCTTTTCAAGCTTTCCTCTCGTTTCCCGCCGTCTCAGATCTGCAATGGCCGGAAAGGGAGAAGGTCCTGCGATCGGTATCGATCTCGGCACGACGTACTCGTGCGTCGGTGTCTGGCAACATGATCGTGTCGAGATCATTGCCAATGATCAGGGTAACAGAACGACGCCTTCTTATGTCGCCTTCACCGACTCCGAGAGGCTCATCGGTGACGCTGCTAAGAATCAGGTTGCTATGAACCCGACGAACACTGTTTTCGGTAAGATCTGTGCTTTGCTGTTACTTATTCGATTTAACTTTTTTGTTGAGGCTTTGTTGTTTGGATCTGTAGATTGTGTTGAAACTCATTTGATCTTTATGTGATTAATATTTACTAGTGTTGTAGACTTTCTGCTTTGATTAGATCTTATGCAAATTGTTTTGTGCGGTTTTGAAATGTCTTGTTGCTTTATTTATCTTTTGCTAGATCTGTTAGGCATGGATATTTCTACCAGATCTGCTGGCTTCTGAAACTGATTTACTCGCTATGACGTTATGGATTGTTTTTTTATGCCGACCTAGATCTGAAACAATCACTTGTTCCTGGACACGTTTGTAATCTTAGTGTGTCATGCAAACTTAAGACTGTATGACGTCGGATCTATCTCTATTCTTAGTAGCTTGTTATTTATAAACATGTTTATGTATAGAGTTTTTCGTCAGCCTCTTGCAAACTTGTTGATCTGCACTACTTGTGTAGTGTGGCTGATGTTGTTTTACACTGATTGCATTCTTAAAAATGGCATCTGTTATAAACTTGTTTTTTCGGTCATTTAATTTGGATCTGCAGTCCAGAGGCGCGTTTTGTAAACATTAAAATTACCATGAGATTTGATCTTAATTCTGAGTTGAACATTTATCCCATCCTTATGTGTCTATGCTTTTGTTGACTTCCAAGTTTCAATCATGTTTTTATACTACTTTATGAATTAGTTCATGAACCAACTTGTTATATGCAGTTGTATTTTCTTCAGATTGCTCTTTTTTAAGTTTGCTTTACTAAGGTACTGCTTTTTCCTGTTTCAGATGCTAAAAGGTTGATCGGAAGGAGATTTACTGATTCCTCCGTGCAGAGCGACATTAAGTTGTGGCCATTCAAGGTTATATCCGGACCTGGTGACAAGCCCATGATTGTTGTGAACTACAAGGGAGAAGAGAAGCAGTTCTCGGCTGAGGAGATCTCTTCCATGGTTCTGATGAAAATGAAGGAAATTGCTGAGGCATACCTTGGTTCGACAGTGAAGAACGCTGTGGTCACTGTCCCTGCATACTTCAATGATTCCCAGCGTCAAGCTACCAAGGATGCTGGTGTGATCTCGGGTCTCAATGTGATGCGTATCATCAATGAGCCTACAGCTGCAGCTATTGCTTATGGACTTGACAAGAAGGCCACCAGTGTCGGCGAGAAGAATGTTTTGATCTTCGATCTTGGCGGTGGTACTTTTGATGTCTCCCTTTTGACCATTGAAGAAGGTATTTTTGAGGTCAAGGCCACTGCTGGTGACACACATCTTGGAGGCGAAGACTTCGACAACAGAATGGTCAATCACTTTGTTCAGGAATTCAAGAGAAAGAACAAGAAAGACATCAGCGGCAACCCAAGAGCTCTTCGGAGATTGAGAACGGCCTGTGAGAGGGCAAAGAGGACTCTCTCCTCAACTGCCCAAACCACCATTGAGATCGACTCTCTCTATGAGGGTATCGACTTCTACTCCACCATCACCCGTGCCAGATTCGAGGAGCTAAACATGGACTTGTTCCGTAAGTGCATGGACCCAGTCGAGAAATGTTTGAGGGATGCAAAGATGGACAAGAGCACCATCCACGACGTCGTCCTTGTTGGTGGCTCCACCAGGATTCCCAAAGTCCAGCAGCTATTACAGGACTTCTTCAACGGCAAGGAGCTTTGCAAGAGCATCAACCCCGATGAAGCTGTTGCATATGGTGCCGCTGTTCAGGCCGCTATTTTGAGCGGCGAGGGTAACGAGAAGGTCCAGGACCTCCTTCTCCTCGACGTCACTCCCCTCTCCCTTGGTTTGGAAACTGCCGGAGGTGTCATGACTGTATTGATCCCAAGAAACACCACCATCCCGACCAAGAAGGAACAGGTCTTCTCGACGTACTCTGACAACCAACCCGGAGTCCTCATCCAGGTCTACGAAGGAGAAAGAACCAGAACCCGTGACAACAACCTGCTCGGAAAATTTGAACTTTCCGGAATCCCCCCTGCCCCTAGAGGCGTCCCTCAGATCACCGTCTGCTTCGACATCGACGCCAATGGTATCCTCAATGTCTCTGCCGAGGACAAGACCACTGGACAGAAGAACAAGATCACGATCACCAATGACAAGGGCAGACTCTCGAAGGACGAGATCGAGAAAATGGTTCAGGAGGCCGAGAAATACAAGTCCGAGGATGAGGAGCACAAGAAAAAAGTCGAGGCCAAGAACGCATTGGAGAACTACGCTTACAACATGAGGAACACCGTCAAGGACGAGAAGATCGCCTCCAAGATCCCCGCAGCTGACAAGACCAAAATCGAGGATGCTATTGAGTCGACCATCCAGTGGCTTGACGGGAACCAGCTTGCCGAAGCTGATGAGTTTGAGGACAAGATGAAGGAGCTGGAAAGCATTTGCAACCCCATCATTGCCAAGATGTACCAGGGTGCTGGCGGGGAGGTCCCCATGGAAGACGATGGTCCGGCTCCGAGCGGTGGCAGCGGCGGGAGTGGTGCCGGGCCCAAGATCGAGGAGGTCGACTAAGTTTGCAGCGTAACGTATTAGCTGCATTTCCTATTTTACCTTTCTTATTATTGTTATGATATGATTCATACAGCAACTCTTTATGGTATGTCTGTTTTTGTTATATTTTGATGATACTCTCAATTCGGTTCAGTTTACCGCTTGTCGGTAAGTTTTAATTTGCTATAACTAAGACAGATATTATTTTGTCACTGAAGCAAGTACTACTGGTTTTGGTTTTTTGTTTCTTATTTCTACTATTTCTTGGTTTTGATTTTATGTAACTATTTGGTTCGTAATTGTTTATTTTTAAAAGCTTAAATTTCGAATTGGTTATTGGGTATTTTAGTGAACTGATTCATAATCGTTAGTAATATTTTTAAGCTAAAATTTCGTGTGGGTCATCGGGTTTAGGGTGTATGTTAAGAAAATTATTTAAGAACTCATAATTATGAACCAAGTGGATCGGGCTGGGCATTATTTTAACATAATTGTTTATATTTTGAAGCTCAAATTTCGTGTGGGTCATCGGGTTTAGTGTTTAGTGTGTATGTTAAGAAAATTATTTAAGAAGTCATAATTACGAACCAAGTGGATCAAGCTGGGCATTATTTTTACGAATTGATTAATAATTGTCTATATATTTGTAAAGCTCAAGCAGAGCCCAAATCTCGAGTATCTTATCGAGTTACTAATATGAGCTGTTCATAGTTTGTATTTCTAAAGCTCCACTTCCGAGTGGGTCGTCGTTTCGGGGTTAGTGTGTATATTAAATTTTTATTTTTTTTAGAAAAAAACTATAAATATATATTTTTTATTTTAAATAATCTTATCAAGAACTTACTGTCAAAAGTGTCATTGAAACACGACTATACGGTGAAATTCATGATTATTTAATATGTTTTTTTTCTTTTTTTTTATTTTTATTTATAAAAATAGTAATTAGATTTAATATTTCTAGAAATAAAATTTCGAAACAATACATATTTTCCTAAAAAAATTTGAATTTTGGCGATTTTTAAATATTTGGGTAAATAAAATAATAACTAAAATAATAACTGCAAATATTATTTCTATTTTTATGTCCGCTGAATTTAAAAATATATACTTTTACTATAATAAAAACATTTTATATATAAATAAGAATATCAAAACAATAATATATTTTTATTAATTAATAAAATATAATATTTCATTTGTCTGTAGAATTTTATTTTTTATTTTAAATTTCAAAACAAAGATACTACTCCTTAAAACATAAATTATCAACATATTTATAATATGACATATATTATAATTCTAACACATATTGTAATATGTGTAAATATATACTTATTAGGTGTATAACTAATATATGTTCATCCGCATAAATCAACATGCTTCCACAATCCACATAATTTAGTAAATACCTATTTTTGGAGTTAACACGGTGTAATAATCCATTTTTGAGTCATGTATTTTTTGTAATTTTGTAATTTTTTGAGCGTTAATATGTAATAGTATAATTTTTTATTTTTTTATTTAGAAAATGATGTTAATTTTTTTTTTTTTCTGAAAGAGAAGCATACGTAGCATATGGATCTGGAGGTATGGAAAATTTAAATCCATGACCCCAAATCACAAGTTCACTCTCCACACCACCAAACCTGATTAACCACTTTATTATTATTAGCAGGTAGGGAGGATATTTCTTCTTGATTGTCAGCTTACAACTCTTGAGGGTGTGTTTGTTTGGAGGATTTGATTTAAATTCAATTATTCATTCAATTTTTTTTTAAAAAAATATTAAATCAAATATTTATTTTTTATTTTTTATATTATACTAAAAATTAATTTTACATTCAAAATATCACATCAACATCTATTCAAATTTAAATTTTTTACTGTTCAAATCCCGATCCAAAATACAAACGAGACAAACACCCCCTCAGTAGACTCTGTTTCTGCAGGGAAGGCAGTAATGGTCACATCAATTTCCATCAACTCAATACTCTCGATATCATTTTTGGGATATTTGGATGAATAGGGGAGTAGTAACTACAAATAATAATAATAATAATAATAATAATAATAATAATAAATCAATAAATAATATTCTTTCATTTGCAATAAAATGCCATTTTATTAATTGTAAATTAAATTTATATATAATAAATAATTTTATTTGAATACAATTTTATTATTTTATTTTAATAAATAATAATATTTATTTATTAATTTTTAATAATTCTTTTATACTCTATATGTTATCTAAATTTATTTTTATTTTTATTTTCATTTATATTTATTCAATTTTATTCTTTTTACTACAAAAGGAAAAAAATCATATTTTTATTTATTTATTTTTAAATTCATACCCAATTAAATAATAAAAAAATTGATAACTAAATTAATATTTTTATCAATTTTATTTTTATTTTAAAATATCATAATTTTTTAAATATAAATAAAATAATTAAATGACAGTCGAAGTAGGAAAAATAAATAATAATTGAGCAGCAGGTAGGCAGGCAGGCAAGTAGGTCAGCTATGAGTAGGTCAGGCCCCACAGGCCTTCCCACTTGAGTTGAGGCTGTATTATTAAAGCCAAAGCCCACCAACACTGGTCATGGGGCTTCAAATGTCCTTTAGCCCTATAAGTAAAAGATATCTGATATGATATATTGATCTGATGCTCCCTCCAATTCCTATATTTTTATTTTTATTTTTATTTTTTATATTTAAATTTATGGTGGACCACACAAAAACTATCTCATTTAAGTATCTTCTCCTCCACTTATCATTACCAATAACAGTTTTTATCATCATATTTTCCAAATTTATCCCAACCAAAAAAAATTTAAAAAATAAAAATGTCTGCCCTTTTCTAACATATTTTATTAAACTACAAACAATTATCCCCACATAAACTCGCTCTACATACATGTCATTCAAATTTATTTTTATTTCTATTTTATTAATAAATAGTACTATATATTATGATTCTGAGGGTCTTATTTATTTTTTGTGTGTTGATATTTAAATATTAATTATTATATCAAAATATATTACAAATTAAGAAAAAATAACAAAAATATTTATATTAATATCTTATAATACTATTATAATAATATTTGTACAAAAATTTATACAAACATAAAAATATTTTTAATATTAATAGAATATCGCAAAAGATAAATGAAACTCGGACGGAGAGAATATCATTTTTTATTTTATTTTTTCTTTATCCTAAAAAGTACTTCATCCGTCCCTAATCAAAGAGACCATTTGAAATTTTTTAATAAATAATACTAATATTTTATTAGTTATTAAAAATGCAAAAGAATTCAAACATTTTTGCTTTTTAAATTTATCTATAAAATAATTATATATATAATAATAATTTATTTATAATTTAAGTAAAGATAAATAATGTTTTAGTATTAGGTATAATATTTTTCCCTATAACAAAAAAGAGATATTTGAAGTGTGATTGAGAAAATAGTAAAAATTATACTTTCAATTAAGACTAGGATGGAGGGAGTAAAAGTTTATTTTTTATCTATTTTTTCTTAAAACTTAATCCTCAGTCAAATAAGCATAAAATTAAATTAGGAAGATAATAAAAATAATCCTCATGACAACAAGAAAGAAATATTAACATAATACTTAAAAACTAACCACACACAACAATATATTGTCCCAAATAACACATACTATAATTGATCCATCCAACACAATGTAAGAATGTATACAACACAAGCTGCAATATTATTACCTCAAACTATGTCCCCATAACACAACACAAATTCAATCAATCCTCAATCACAACAACATAAGCAAATAAACACATATAGACACACACACACATATATATATATATATATATAAACACATAAATTTAAGATATGAGAAAGAATGTCGATCATTTCATTACCTCGACGAAGTTAAGGTATGAGAAAGAATGTCGATCATTCATTACCTCGACAAACTTGGCGAGGACGAAGACACACCCGAACCTCATGTTCCTCCGCTCCTTGTTGGATCTTCGGGACCATAATCTCGAGCACCGTCCCAACCCCGTCATAATAAGCCTCGATGTTCGCATCCTCCGGGATTCGGCTCGCGAGCGCGATTTCTCTTACAAATTCCCCCGGGGGGCAGTGCTCCGATGACCCCCCCATCAGCTTAAACGTCCTCCCATTCCTCGTCACGTACGTCGCCCTCGACGTGCTCGTGCAACACACTTTCACGATCCCGTGCGTCAGCGTATTCCTCCACGAAACTTTCACCCTCCCGAGATCGACAAACGGTAAACTCACCATAATTAGGTACCCGTGTTCGTCCTCGTAAATCGTCTTCGCCGCCGTAACGGGACCGTAAACGTCTCTCAGCACCCCGGTGAATCCGTTCAGCCACGAAAATTGGCTCGATTCGACGTCGTCGTCGTTGTCCTGCAGTAAAAATTCTTTCTTTCTTTTGTTTCCGCGCGGCGGCGAGAGATCTGCCGCGTCGCTGCCGCCGAAATTCAGTACCGATGCCACTGGAAATTTCGTCGACCGAGGGAAGAGACTCGCGCTCGCCTTCACCGGAGAAGTTTTCTCGACTTCGAATTCCGTATTCGGCAGATTTCTCCAAGAACTGTACGCGCTCGCTTCCGGCGGGATCGTGAAATCCAATTCTCTCCCGGTAAGTTCCGCCCATTTCCTCCGATCGTCGTCGTCAAGATTCATCAAGCTCGGGGACGGCACGAACTCGATTCCATGAACGCATTGCGGATTTGAGAGCCCACGGTAATACTTCCGCTGCATTCGGTGTGACCTAACGAAGCCGCGATCGACGCTAAACGGAAACGGGTGAACTCCTTGGCGTGAATGTCCGTTCATGTAACTTCGAAGCTGCATTTTCCCGAGCGCATTTTCTGGCCGTTCCTTGAAAACCCACATGTACAAATTCTCCAAATCATGTTGGACCATGAAGACATTAAGCTGAAGGTCGGATTTATCGAACCCCGTTATCCCGTTACGGTCGCGCCGTATTTTCGCCTTCGATTTCTCGTTGAGGACGGGCTTGAAGTAAAAGGTGAAGAAGAACCACGCGCCCCAAATACTATCGACCCGTTTCGTACACTTTCGAAGGATCTTCGGGACCGTAATACAATTCTCATTTTCGTAGATATGAGCCCCGATCCCGACGTCAAGAATGTTGGAATTGTCGGGATTCCACGACGATGGCGGCGGCGGCGGCGGGGGGCTTTGCTCGACGGAAAGGGGTAGATTTATATCCGGCGGGCGGGGTAAAACGACATTTCGATTCATCTCGAGGTCTAAATCTTCGTGCGAAGATGATGCGCTTGAATCCATCGATAACAGAGTTGATGGGTGATGATGATTGTCTATTGCTAAGGTTGTAAGAAGTGTCTCCTCCATATCGAAAACTATCTTCTTCTTTAGGCAAATTTTCGACATAAACTCGAAAACAATCTCTAATTAATATCTGCAATCTTTCCTCAATCCCAATCTCAGACATCCAAATCCATGGAAGCTCTGAATTCATTCATCTCGAAAACCATTTCTCCAACAACAGATTCCAATCCCAAATCCAACTTAAGGACAATTCAATAAGAACAGCAGCAGGAAACATATAAAATCGAAATTCAATTCACATGAACCCTAAATCTTAATCCCAAACTAAAGAAATTCAACACGGATGTGATGTATAAAGCCTATGAATTCTCAGTAAACCACCAATAGAGAGATGAGAAACATCGAATTCAAAAGCAGAGTAACCGGAATTTTCCCCCAAATTAAGAAATTAAAGCTAAACCCTAATTTCAAACGATTACCAATCTATGAACCCTAACCCTAAGAACAGCACCATGTCGGAGGGAATCTTAGACGAATACCTTTTGCGGTGAGCTTCCACGATCAGATATCCGCAGAGAATCGGAGAATCAGAAGCGTCGATAAACTTCAAGAGCCTCATCTTTGCCTCCCTCTTCAACTGAATCTACAAACTTCACCAGACCACAGATTTAACTTTTTTTTTTCCCCCACCGATTTTTCAATTTTGTTTCCACAATCCAACAGCGACCAAAAACCCTAACCCTCCGACGACGAAGAAATCGACGCAGAGCTAATGCATTGTTTGAGGAAGGGGAGAAGAAAATTGGGGAGGGTAGACAAGTCGTTGAAATTTAATTTTGTCTGTTCTGGTGCCCGATAAGGAGGAAGGAGATGGGAATCTGTGATTGTATATGAGGACGCAATTTATAGAGAGAGAAAGCGAAAGAGAGAGAGAATGAAAGTTGAAGTGAACAGTGACGGGCAGAAAGAAGACGTTACTGTGCGGACATTGTCACGTTGTTGGAGCTGCTGGTGGGCGTTGGTTGATTGATACATTGCCTTGCGTATTTTTGTAGGCTGTCTTTCTTGTAATTTTGTATGTGAGTTTTTTATTACGAAGAAATTATTTATTTTAATATAATAAGTAACTCTCTTATTAATTGTAAATTTTATAATCCCTTCGTTCCCATTAAAAGGTACCCTTACGAGCATTTGTAATAAATCAAAAAATAATATTTATTTTGTCTCATTTTTGTGTCCGGTTCACAGTAGATATAGAAATTTAGATAAAATATAATTAGTAAATAATTAAAAAATTTATTAATAAAAAATTATTATATAATACAATTAATTATATATTAAAATTAAAATAATTAAATATTATAATTAAAATTTAAAATGTAATTAAAGTGTCCAAATATATATATATTTTTTAAAAGGACAAATAAGGTGAAACAAATTAAAAAAAAATAGTGGACCAAAAATGTGAGATAGAGGAAGTAGTATTTTATTTATTAGTGAAAGTGTGTAATAAATCTTATAATTTTGCTCTGTATAAAGTAATTGTATGTTTTAATGATATATTTATAATTTAAATAAAAATTAAAAGAATGTTTTCAAATTAATATGTAATTACTTTTTGCAAAATAAAAAATAAATATTTTTCAGTGAGATAAACGAAATGGTAAAAACTAATTTGAATTGAGACGAATGAAACATTAGTTTTATAATTAATAAATAATTTGACAAAAATAATTTTTAAGTATCGAAATTACTGACATAATAACGTTGTGGCTTGCCACAAATATATTTAAAATATTATATTATTACCTATTTTAAATCATATTATATAATAATTTAAATTTAAAAGTTAACTATTTAAAATACAAAATTCAAAACTCAAATTTTCAGACAAACGCATCTTGAATTCTTTTTTTTAAATAATTATAAAAAATAAATAGTTGCCATCATATTTTATAATAAATAGTTATTTAATATTCTATCAGTTTGAAAGTAAGTTTTTCATTCTATTTTTCAATGCGGATTAAGTTAAATTAATATTTTATATATATGTAGTATATAATAAAGCTATGTAATATCCATTTTATCCTGCGAAAGTAATGTGAAAAAGTAAAAAAATAAAAATATTTTAATATTTAATTGAAAATTATTTTAAAAAAATGAAAAAATTTCTTTTGTACAAACTAAAATAACAAATAAAAAATTTACTAGTAGACATAGAGAGTATAATATTTTTTAAAAATATTAGTGATGAATAATATATATTTTTTGTTATATTTAAACAAATAGTCCAATTACAGTGTTGAATTGAAGCAAGATGTATTATTTATTTAGGGTGTGTTTGTTTGGGGTTTGGATTTTGAATTAGGATTTGAATAGTAAAAATTTTGAATTTGAATAGTTGTATGATGTGATATAAATATGTGTTGACGTGATGTTTTGAATGTAAAATTAATTTTTAGTATAATATAAAAAATGAAAAATAGGTGTTTGATTTGATTTTTTGGGGGGAAAAATTGGATGAATAGTGTAAATCCAATCCAATCCCCCAAACAAACACACATATGTTCGGCCGATAATATAAAAATAAATTAAAATTGGAATGTAATTTACAAATAAATAGTTATATAAAATAATACTATAAAAAAGTACTCCCTATGTCCCACATACCATGTCCATGTTGCCGCTTCTTTCCGTCCCACGTACTATGTCACTTTCTTTTTTAGGAAAATGATTATACACTTTAATCTCATTTTAAATTTTTAAATTTTATTTATTTTTTAAAATTTTAATTAAACTAATTAGTTATCTTAATATTAATTTATAATTATTTATATTATAGGATAATTATTTTCACTAATACATTCTTAATTATCTATTAATTACACCCCTCTTAAAATACCGTGTCTACAGTATAACAGACACCGTATGTGAGACGAAAGTAATAATATATAGATAATATACTTTTTATAGTGAAAATTGATGTTTATGATTAAAATAAAATTACTGTAAATCAAATGTATTTTTACTATAATTGCTGCACAAATTGAACAATGGATTATAGATGGCCGAACTATGAACGGTATTATATTTGACTATGACATGTCGAAAGTGTATAAAATTTTTGTTGAGTGTGAAAATACCATTCTAAATAGGTAGAATTTGAGGAACGTTCATTTTTAATTTATTCTATTATAGCAATATGCAATGAAAATTACTCCATAAAGTATATAATAATTATTTTACATTATATATAAATTTAAAAGGGTAAACTGTTTTTTTAGTTTCGTAACTGGACCTCCTTATTATTTTAGTCTCGTAAGTGGAGCATGTCGCAAATTAGTCCAATAAGTGAAAAATTTTCGTTGTTTTAGTCCTCCGGCGCCGGAGATGCCTCGTGGCTCGCCGGAGGTGACCGCCAGGTGTCGCTGACCTGGCGGACACGTGGATTTTTTTTTAAAATTTTTTTTTTAAAACTTATTTTTAATTTTATTTGTATTTTTTTTATTTAGTCCAATTAAAAAAATTAAAAATAAATAAATAAATCCACGTGTCCGCCAAGTGTCGCTGACCTCGCGGGACACCTGGCGGACACGTCACCTCCGGCGAGCCACGCGGGCGTCTCCGCGCCGGAGAACTAAAACAGCGAAAATCTTTCACTTATGGGACTAGTTTGTGACATGCTCCACTTACAAAACTAAAATGATAAAGGGGTCCAATTACGAGATTAAAAAAACAGTTTACCTTATTTAAAACAAATAACTGGAAATAAGTAAAAATACAAGTAACTCAAAACAAAAATAAAACCACAAGTGGCAGAAATATTTAAATAAATATATGTAATAAGAAAGGTTCAAATATTACATTTTATTATGTGTGAAAGTCAGCATTGCGATACATTTTTTAATAAAAAAAATGTAATATTGAAAGGGATATTTATTTTTATATTATATCGATATATATATATATATATATCCACATATTATTGAATTACTATTAAAAATAATTAGTATATATATACGTGTATACAGCTTTGATATAAATAATAAAATATTTAAATAAAAATATTAGGATGTGCAAATCAGACAACGTATTGGACGAAGATTCTTGTCAATAAATTTCTGTAGTTAATTTGCTGGAAAATTATTTTATAAAATTGACTTGTAATCTAGCTAATTCCTAAAGTCAAATTTAATCAATGAAATAATTAGAATGGCACTGTCCCATTTAATTAAATTTATTTAAAAAAATAATATATATATACTGATATGAAATTTTATTTATTTATTTATTTATTTATTTTTTAATGTTTCATTGATATATTGTCTAGAATAACATTATGTAGTGTGGGTGAATTAAATAATGGTTGTTAGAGGTTTATTTGGTTTTGTTTTGAGTTATCTTTGAATCTTTAATTTTAATTTAAATACTCCGTCCATCCCACTTCTCATGTCTATTTTTTTATTTCCGTCCGTCCCACTTATTTTGTCACTTTCCTTTTTTTAAAAATAATTATAAACTTTAATCTTATTTTTAAAAATTTAATTTATAATTTTTTTTTTAATTTTAATTATACTAATCAATTATTTTAATCTTAATTTATAATTATTTGTATTATGATAATTATTTTCACTAATATATTTTTAATTATTTACTAATAACCTTCCTAAAATTTCCGTGTCTACGGTAACACGGACAAAATATTCGAGACGAAAGGAGTAATATTTTATAAAAAAGTATGATACTATATTATTATTAAAAATAATGTTGGTTGAATAACAATAATTTTAGTTTAAAACAATCAAACAAAGTCATGTATTAATATTATTCAAATAGATGGCAAAAATAATAAGAGATTCTCCTGGGCGTATTCTCTTTGTATTTTTTTATATTTAAAGTTTTTTAAAATAATAATTTGATCTTATGTTTTATAAGATGTAATAATATATTTTATTAAAAAATTATAGGAATTTAAAAAAATAATAAAAATACAGGAATATATATAACTTTGTTCTCTTCATTTTTATTTTTTATTTTTTTAAAAAAAAGACCATACAGGTATACATGATAAAAAAATTCAAGTTGAGTTTATAATAGAGACAATCAACTTAAGTCTAACAATCGAAATATAATTTAACAGTGTTGAATTATACTTCCCTTATCTATTTTCTATGCATTAATTTACTTTTGTTATATTAAGAAATATTATTCTCTCTTCGTCCTACCTATCAATTATCATGTTCGCGTTGCCATTTCTGTTCGTCTAACATTTTATGCAATTTTTTTTAAAAAATAATTATACAATTTAATCTATTTTAAATTTTATAATTTAACTTTTTTTATTTTTAATTAAAATACTTAGTTATCTTATTTTAATCTATAATGATTTATATTATATGTTAATTATTTTTAATAATATATTTTTAATTATTTATTAATTATACTTATCATAAATTGTCGTGTCTCCGATAATTAGGACACCGTGGGTTTATGTACGATATGTTGTGTGCAAGAATATTTTAATTTAAATGCAATGGATAGCTAATAATGAATATTTGGCCCATAATTTCAACCTAGATCGGGTTACTGGGTCGGGCTCAAGCTCATAGCCCGGCGCACTTGGCTCCTTCCACTAGAGGTTTTTTTTTGTTTTTTTATTTTATTTTAAAGGATGTGTTTCTTTAGGAGGATTTGAGGAAAGTTGGGTTTGAGTTTGATTTTCATTTGAATTTTAGGATGAGTTTTAATTTTGTTGTTTCTTTTGTGTTTAGGTTTGGTTGGGTTTGAGGAGTTTTGATGCGTATTGATTTGATGGATAATGAATAAAATAATATAAATATGTATTAAATTTAATTGATAAAATTTATATTGTATGATTTGATTATGAATTTATATTATACCCAACATATATATATTTAAAATTTTATTTATTTGTATTATAGAAAATTTTGTTCTCTACGAAATGACATATATATATTGTATATATTTTTTTATCATA